AGAGAAAGAAATTCCTCAGTGGAATAAAAATTACATGCGGTCCTAAAACAACATGTGACAGTTCACGGTCTGTGTTAAAGGAATAATTCTGTTAATACATGTTTATCCTAACAAACCTTTTCAGCCTGACATCCCTCGTCAGACGAAGACATCACAAAGGACGTCAAATTTGGTAAAGCTCGTAACTTACTTTCAGTTGTATTTTTACCTTTTTTTACTTCAGATCGAAATAATTTACGACATAATTGTAACAGCAGAATTATTTAAGTTTTCATTAAGGCTAAAATATTCTTAAATGTATTAAATTAAAAGGCATTTGATACTCTTTTGATAATATTTGTAAGACATAAATAAGTTTTCAATAAGCACTAAATGATATTGGATGTTGACAATTAGTAATAGTTTAAGTTGTTACGACTTTCTTTTGTTTCGTTTATATACTTTTATATAAGTTACGCGTTTCGTTTAATTTGGTTACTTCCTGATAACTCTATGGTAGAAACTTTATTGGTATAAGATTTCGTCTTAATATACTAAATTCTATGTTCCATATATGTATCGACTAATAAAATAAATAAATAAATCATAAACATACATATAGATTTAATAATAATATATTCGGTAGTAAGCTTCTGTAAGTAATTTATTTGATTCTGAGTTGTATTTACTGTAGTAGTCTTGAATAAATCAATTGAAGTATTGTACGAGAGACCACACCTATACAGACGGTTAGATTTTTATAAGAGCTATTCTGTTGCTTTATTGAAGGAGTCTAAAAATAAAAAATAACTAATAATAATAACCCTTCAAAAGGTAATATTCTTCACGTTATAAAGAAATTGATTCAAAACAAAATATATTTTACATATTGTATTATAAATCAATATGATATTTCAGTATATTTTATTCTGTGTAGTCAACTCTTCCGTAGTAATTAAACGTTTCACAGCGCTTTAAACCATCATAAATGGCTCCAAATTCCACCTCTAATATATCAAAGAGTTGAACGCTGGAATGAGCCTCGGGGGACGCTAACCCTCTGATAAAAGTACAGATTTATATAATGTACTGGGATATAATGTTGGTATGTGTGGATTAGTCTCGTTTGTTTTATTTGTGCTATAATAAAAGTCGAATCGACTTCCGAAGACTGTATTGTATTAAGAGCTTTCTATATCAATATATATTATATATGAGTTATAGTGTAGTAACCAGCTATAGGAATGCGTACAGCTAAGTCGTGTGGAGGGCTCTTTATACCAGATATATTATTACTTGAAGAGTTTTACTCATAGAGGTCCTCGGAATAAATTGTAGCATAGTAGCTATTGTTTAAATATAGCTGTATAGCTAATACATGAGACTTATGTTTAAACAATATTTATTTTAAAAGATAATTATATAAAGTTATATGATTTTCTTGATTTTATCACTTAACACGATACATTTAAGTTTTATTTTCGTTTGTGATATCATACACAGTTTTTGCTAAGTCTTTAAATTAGTTGCGACTTATGAAACAATAACATTTTGGATACCTCGATTTTTGAAATTGCAGAGATTTTTTTCTTATTATATAGTATTTTTGGAAATTACTATACCATTGTTTTTTATTAAAACGAAATGTTTTCAAAGTAATTATTATAAAGTCACAAGGGACACTTTAGATTTAAAGGCTGTTTAAGGAAAAAATAAAAAGGAACCTCTTTTCTTAAGAAAATTTTTCTATCTATCTATCTATTACATATACTTAATTGTTACATTGTCTTTCACTAATAATTACTTTTATCTTGTTATCTTTTGCCTGTAAATTGACTTTCAAATACATTATCAACAGCAAATGAAACCCAAAATGAATTTGTTTTTCAATAATCTAGAACTTGTAAGATCCAAATTGCTCGAGTCGAACCTTTTATAATCGTTATTTTTTTACTTTTTTATGTAATAAGATATTTTTATCCATCTTTTATGCTCTTTTTAATTATTGACTTAACTTTAAACACAAATTGTTTTCATTAGTATATTGTGGATTCAAAATTTGTGATATAGGTTTTAATTTTGTGACTTTGCTCGACATTAGTATATAATTTATCAAAATTTGTCATACAAATTACCGTTCGTTGAAATTCATCTCAAATAAAGATTCATTTTAGAAGTCTTTGTCTTTGATCCGGGGCGATTGTTTTGTATATGAAATTCGTTTCAACAATTCTGACACAAAGCCTATGTAAAATATTTCTGTTGTTTGACATCTAACGTGGGATACACTTCGCATCATTATATCTATATATGTATATACTAGAAGATCTGGCGAACTCCGTATCGCCCTATAATCAAGAAATATCTATAACGTTTTTTTATTTATATTTTTGGAGTTTACCTGTGAACTATAAATCTCCGTGTTTTGAAGTGCGACAGATGATTGACATATTAGTTAGTTGTCAAATCTAATGTCAAAAAAACGTTAGTATGGGAAATAGAAAAGGGCTGTTTTTATGGTTTTCCCAGTAATGAATCAATTTTTTTCAGCTTTTATACCTTCCCTGAACCTCCACGAACATTTCAAGACTAAGATAAGATAAATCCGTTCAGCTGTTCTCGAGCTTTAGCGAGACTAAGGAACAGCAATCCATTTTTATATATATAGAAGATAAAAGAAAGTCGTGTTAGTGACTCCACTTATAACCCAAGAACGGCTGAATCGATTTAGCTGAAAATTGGCAGGGAGGCAGTTTAGAGCCAGGAAATTGCAATAGGATACTTTTTATCCCGTTCGACAGCATTCCCGTGGGACTTGACATGAAACGTCAGTCACTATAAAACGTGGAATAACACAATTGACAGCTATGCAATTGACGTATAAGGACAGATATGTAATGACGTATGGATGACAATTAGATATTTGTAAGAAATCTACTATATAAAAATAAAAATATTTAGGTATTGTGTTTGTAGTTTGAACTCTTAAAACCATTTAGTATTTGCGGGATAAATTTAGAAAATCATTGTTTTTCACATGGGCAGTTATATTTTGCGTGTTCACGAGTTTGGAAACCGTACGCTTTATTTGTGTTAAAGTTAGACCAAAAAACAAAAAATGTGGTTTACAAAGGAGCACTTTAATGAAACGGATAATTTGCGGACACGTATAATGCTTCGATTCGGTATCTACTTTGGATTCACTTTCATTTACTTAGAGAAGTTCAACTAAATAACACTTCATTTTTGTAATCCAAATGAATTCATTACTGTTGTGAAATGAAATAAAAATTTTCCTTTTCAAAAATAAAACAAAAAATTCATCTTTTAATCACCAAATGAACGAAATGTTATATAAAAGCCTTCTGGTGGCGAAACGGAGTTCGCCAGGTTTACTAGTATCAAATAAAGATAACAATTTTTACTAATGTATCTTTATATATGTATATTTTATTTTAAAAATATGTTAAGTATTTTATTCGCTCGATGTTTATCTTCGCTTTAACAAAAACTACGTACGTACGTCAATACTAAGTAAAGTGTTACTGGACACATTCTTAGAACATAAATTATGTAGTTATTTAGGTCAAATTTATTTACTTATTAGCCAAAAGGATAGACTGTAGATTAAATAAAGTATTTTATACTTTATTAGGAAAAATTGCTGGATACTTTAAGACATTTCATAAAAAAATGACCAAATTATATTATAACTAATGAAATGATGTTATTATTCTGTTAAATTTAAATTAAACCAGCTTATTTAGATTTTAATTGCTTCGTTCATATAACTTTAGTTTTTCCAGTTAGCTCGTTGTAAAGAAAATTGAAAGGTAATATTTGGTAAAAAGAATGTATGTATAAGTTTTTGATATCAGTATGTATAACAAATTTTTAATGTTATAATTGATAAAAAGACCTTATTTTATTACATATACAGTTGGTATTTGTAAATCATGTGAGGGTATTCTAAATCACGAGGAAATTATTCCTACATGATCTTTATAACAACTTTTCCTATCTTGGAATTATTTCCCCTTAATTCTATCTTTGAAGACTAGTACCCTTTCTCTGAGTTTGTTTCGTTACACTGCATAAGAGCGTTTTTCGTTTCTCATACTCGTTTCTCATAGTTTCCTATGTTAACAATTTTTCTTGAGGTGATTCATGAGTTAAATGCTAAGGATTCCGTATGTAGTAACAATCCAAAATACGGATAACTGTACGGTAAAAGAATATTTCTAAGGGTTTAAAATGTCACACAAAAATAACTGATTTAGAATTATTTTCTATATTTATTGTCTATAAAGCTACAGATGATTGCACTTTAGAAAAATGCACTTCTCAATTTTATTACTCTGTTTATGATTATCATTCATTTAAATGAAACTAATATTTATTTACGCGTAAATAAATACACCAAGTAAAATCCGAAAATATTAGTTTCATTTAAATGAGTACTCGCGAAAATCTTAGACCTCATTTTTATCATTCATTTTTAATAAATTTCTTCATCATAAGTTCACCGACAACAGTTGTTTTACAATCATAATTTACATAAAATGCCTACAAATTTCCTTTCCTCGTAACATATTATATATTTAAGATGTATATTGTAGTACAACATTGACATAGTAGACCTCAAAATGTGGAAGTTAATGTGATTTATTATGCTTCTGTGAGGAAGTAATAATATTACGACATTTCCGATAACAAAATAAGGCTGGCTCTGAGGTTTAAGAGGGAAATTCTGGTATAAAATATACTAACATTCTTCAATTGTCTTCTATTATATCATCTTTTAACTACTTGTAAGAAGTCTTTTTTATAGTAAATGATATGTTATTATTATATTCAACAAAATAAATGTATATATGCACATATAGTCAGTGGTGGCCTAGTGGTTAAAAGGCCCGCCTCTCATGCATGAGGGCGCTGGTTCGATCCTGGCCCGGGCACGTACTAATGTGATTTTTCCGAGTCTTACGCACTTTCTAAGAGTATTTAAACATCACTGATTTATGCATTCCCAAAGAGGGTTGATGTCAGGCAGGCGGCCGGTCGTGAAAACAATTAGCCTAAACTATTCACAACATGTAAGGCAGACCCTGGCTAAAGCTGGGAAATTGCCAGGTAGAAGAAGAAATGTATATATGAAGATCAATTTGAAAATAATATATTAACACAATTTCCTTAGTACATATTGGATAATGATTAATTATTATTATTTATATAATTTTCTTAGTACAATTCTTAAATTGGTTAACACTACCTTACAATCACAGTTGATATTTTCATTTTCAATTTTTATTATCGGATGTAAATTCAAATAATGATGCATGAAATACATATAAATAATACATTTTGTTTCATATTAAGTAAATTACGCATTATATCTAACATTACCATATCCTTACTATATGATTCAACTTTAAGAATTCGTATGGATGGTTTACTAGATTAAGTACATTTTTACTTAACCCCATTACACTACTAAGTTGCACTTATATGATCTGTCCCAAATTTGTTACTGCCTCACCTCGTTTTATAAAATGGATAATCTAATTTATAATAATGTCCATTAGTACTTTAGGAACAAGCGTTAAAAGGTTACAATATTGTTTCAGAAAACAACACGCAGTTGGATAGAGTCCACGTTTCAGAAGAGGGAATGCAAGTGCTTTGTGCCCAGCGCTAAGGACGAACACGTGTAAGTAAATAAGGATCTAGTGTTACAGACAGATTTCAATCTTACAACATCGGAATAGAGTTTAAAATTATTCGTATCATATAGCATGTAGGAGTATAACATTTTTAACTCGGCTTAAATAGATATTCAACAGAAATAGAAATAAAATGAGTATTACAATATTCATTGTTTAAGTTTTATATAAAAACAAAGTATTATATATTAAAACAAAGTATTATATATTGTATAAGTATGTTTATTGTATCACATAGTTATAAAGTTGTGTTAGAACAGTACCGGTAAGCTGTCTCCTAACAATTTGCACACTTCGTTAGTGCGGTGACGTTTTAGACAAATAGTGTTAGGTGTTGCATTGTTTAGGGGAGTTTGTTACTTGAACGAAATAATACACTGAATAGATACTATATATTTTACTGAAAATATATGAGAAAAACAAAAATTAAATTAAATATAGAAATCCCTACGAAAGTAATATAAATATACAGGATGACTGGTGAATTACTATCGATATTTGAGGACGTGATATTTGACGATCATATATGAAAAAATAAAAATTAATATAACATAAATATTAATAAACTTCTAAGTAAAGTTAACCAAAAGTTATGTAATTAATTACGCATCGTATGAACACCCTACAGATTAGGTATACACACACACACACACATACGCGTGTCGTGACGTGGTGTTGTATCAGCACGCCCCCGCACGCGTCCACACTTGGAACACTTGGAACGTGTACACACTTTATTTATTTATACGGAAATTTGGTCAAAAATTAAGTACCTATTTTTTTTACATAATTCGAATGAGAATTATGTACCGAGTATGCTCCTTAAATATTGATAGTAATTCACCAGTCACCCTGTATTAAAAGCAAAGTAACTGATACTAGTCTTAAAAGCAAAGTAACTGATACTAGTTAAAATTTAGTATTAGACAATTTTCGAAAAATTTAATAAAAAAGATTTAAATCTGCTCTCCATTGATAATGTCATTTACATCTTCGAAACTAAATAACCATATTTGAACGTATCTAGCTTACAAAGTATCTTTGAATTTACAAGGAATTTTTTTGTTAAAACAAAGTTACTATAAAACTTTCAGGAACTTCATCAAAATCTTTAGAGCAATTTTCCATACTCGACTGATTTATTTTATATATATGTACATACATACATCGCCTAATGGTAATGTAGTCATAACCTTTGATATTAAACATTGAGATTTCCGATACTGTACAACATTTGTTTCATCGTTCCTTTTAATTATTTGAGGCATTAATTCCTCCCTGAACCCTTCGTCACCCAACCCTCGTCGTAATTACCGTAACCAGAGAACGACAGTTGTGTTGTCTTCTTAATTATAACAATTTAATTTACGTATGCAATAACTTACCTCGTTTGAAACCGCGTTCATTACTCTTTTATGCATATTTATATTGTAAAAGTATTAGAAAAAAATCAATGATGTTTTCAGTAACAATAAACATAGTAGGCAATTAAAATGTCGTATATAAGATGATATCATAAATTTTACTGCATCAAATTTCCCACCTTATACTGACGTATGAGTTTATGAATGCGAAATAGACTCTTTTTCTAAATGTTCCCAAATTTGCTTGAATATTTACGTTCAAACGATCGAAAATAAGGTCTACATAGATAGCGACTCTTGACTTTGATAGGTTCGTTACGTAAATTAAATCGTATTTACAAATCCTTACATCAATAAACAATAAATAAAATTATGTAATTTTTTAATTTTTTTAATGTTTATTTTAATAAAAGGCTATATAAGTCTAAAATGTCTTGCAAATCTATTATAATTGATCCATTGACCGAAAATTTCTTCTTCAACTAGAATGAAACTGTATAAATACATGGAAATTAATGTAACCAAGTTTTTTGATTAAAACAGTTTTATAAAACATCTTCATCATATATAGTTATAACTCCTCTTTTCGTGGTAGTGGCCTTATCTTCCTTCGATGGGTTTGGGGGCTCCTGGAAATAAATACAAATTTTATAAATTGTGAACAGTTGAATATTCCAAACAGAATTTTTTTCTGACTTACATCGACCTGTCTTGCCGTGATTGGCCGCAATGTGTCTACATACATCTTCCAGAAGAGAGTCACGTGATTTTTTGATACCAATCTCTTTTGGAACTCATGCGTTAAACTCCAAGTGTTTTCTGAAGTACGGCACACAATACCTATAGATTAATAAGTATGAATATAGAGGTATATTGAGGTGTTGGTACAGTTATATATAGTATGTAATGTGGTTAGGTGCTTGAGAGAAATGGCTCATTATAACAACCTTTGAACCATCACGGATATATAAGAATGCTTTCCCGTAGCTCCATTTCCAGGAAAACAATGACAATAGTCAAAATATGGCCCTCTATTCAATTTTTTTATCTCTCAAAGAATCAGTCACATTAAGTTTTATTAAATGGTTATATTAACAATTACTATAAATACTTCTTTAAAACCTTTAAATGTTGGTATTTTCTAAGTATATTCTTATTGCAACTTTCAGGTGAACATTGTAAATAGAATTATCCATTTCCCTTAATGCAAAAGGTTAAAGATAGAGCAGAAAATGGAAGACGAATGCAATTTACAAAGAATTTACATCAGCGATGGTAAAAAGGAAGTTGCGACCTGATTCGAGACCCTTTGATATTTAAAATTAATTTAAACGTAGAAATAAACATCGTGTAGCGATATTTTCTGTTCAATTTAAAGTTTGTATGTGTATTATTAAAATCTATTATTTTGCATTATATCATATACTTATTTATAAATGTAGTTTATCTAATTTAATCTTAATTTTTACCTAAAAGAGAAGCAATCTTTAACTTTTCCAAGAGTTCAATCACTAAGTCTTCCTTGTCTTTGTTAACGGGATAATTGGTCTGAAAGCAGAAGATAGTTTTATTATATTATACTAGTATAAAACTAAGTTTGATAGTAAAACGATTCTAATAACAATATTTTAATATGCTAAAATAAATTAAATTTTATAATACCCGCGGCATATTTCCTCGATTAATGCTTAGTGTTACGAGTTAATAGAAATGCCAAATTGAAAAAAACTTTATTAATATTGGAAAAAAGGGACCCTACTTTAAAATATTTATTGTCTGTATGTGATTATCTCATAGAAGTGAAATATTTCTAAAATATATGCTTTTTATTTAGTTCAGTGATAGCAAATTCTATAAAGATGCCTTTACGTCCTTGGGGACATAAAATGCGATGCGGAAAATATATGCTCTTGAAAAGCTCTGATAATAATTCCCAATTCGATTTTATTTCCTTCCATAACAGTCCAACTATATTTACTTCCAACTGCAGATAAAATTTCATTATAAATGATTCAATAGCATTGCAAGAAGAATTTACGGAAGCATTTATATAGCTGGATGCAGTATATATTGGATTAGAGACTAACAATCAAATAGTCCAGAATTGCAGTCGTCTGTACATCCTGTTTCCACATCGTTAGCTTCCGTAGAGCCTCGTGTAACATATCCGGTGTTATCTGCCCCAATAACAAATTGTATCAATACCAGCCCCATATGTATATTGATTTACAATATCTATATGTATGTACAGTTACCTCGCTATAAGACATTGATAGATCCTGGTTATCGGCAAGGGAAGAATTAGTAGCGACGAACAGCGGTGAAAGAAATTTGCTGCAAGATCCAGCTTGAATGCTTACTGGATTTGTAAAGTTATTATGAGAAATTAACATATACATATTATTTATAATCAACAGTGTTCATAAAAGCTTTATGAAAAATTAAAAACATTAAGGCTGGTTTCCCGAGAAAATTCGTTAAATGATGAAACATGACACCAGTTAGCGCTTAATAATTTTTAACGAGAAAAATGTGATATTTTATGTTTAAAAATTGTCTCGCACTAAAATAGAAAAGTAACCTGTTTTCATATACGAAGGATGACTTTTATTTAATTTTCTAACACTATTTCCATTTCTTCTCCTTCGTTTTCTTATTTGAAACCATCTCCGCAACGCGTACTCGAATCTGGTGGAATGTTATCTCCTATGTATAAATAAAAATCAGATCCAATAGAAATAGTTTATTAGAAAAGGTAACAAAACAGCTAATAAAACAGTTTAGTTTTGTTCACGTCTACCTTCTTCGACAACATCTATGGCCACAGTATTCACAGCGTGGTGTTTGAGAATTGGATGATAATCTTGTGAATATTGTTGACATAGACACTCTATCTTTCTTTTCATCGGCGGGTTTTTGCTTCCGTTTAGGCGCCTTCCTTATTGCCTGACGTTTTGTTAAAGGTCGCCTTTTCTTCTCAACTCTACCCACTATCCGCTTATTCTTTTCTCTCTTTCTTTTTTGGTGGATTTTATTGTCCGTTTTTGGCAATGGTGATTTTGGTAAATCAGGTCCGGTAGCAGCCATGTCTAATTTGCTTATAAATGAATAAGTGGCCGAAGATGGCATGGACATTTCGCTGTGGGCCCCATCATCGTCGTGGCTATCAACGTACATGTCACCGGTCGAATTATTCCTCTGACTTTCTTTTTTACTTGTTGAAGGTTGTTCCTCGTCTCTATCATCATTTTCCATTCCAAATTTCTTCCGAAAATAACTGATAATTTTGTATTGACTTATTTACTATCGCTCATGAAAATGTTCAAAACTATCTGTCACCTAAGAGAAAACTGTCACATTTTTCAATTTATATTTCTTTTATTGTATTCTTTAAAGCAGAGCATCAAGGTCATATGTATTTTATAATATGATGTATAATATGGTGTATTATTTCATTTGAAAAAGGTTGAGAATTTATAATTTAGCTTAATCTGAGCGTAGAACATAATGAAATTGCTATGTATTTGGTTGGCTAAACGTGCCAAAGACACAATTGTATAAATGTCCCCGAAAGTTAATATTTCAAATGTCTGTTTAAATTTTAACTTAACTAAAAAAAGCCCCGACCCCCTTTCATATAATGTTATAAATTTGAGCTACTTGTTAATTAAATTTATAGATATTTGGAGAATCACAGATGCTTCAGATTTTTTATGGTGTTACCTCTTTGCAGATTTAACGAAAGAGGACTATAAAAATGTATCAATACCTTATTCCTATTTTATAATTATTGATGCCAAATAGTTGTGTTAATATTTCTAAGCTTGTCAGAAATTTGTAATTATTTAATATCCCCTTGATATTACTATAAAAAATGTTAATGATTTAAATATCCTTATTGAATAGTATAGAAAAAATATAACATAAACATAACATGGTCATAATTTCAGTCAGAATATTTAGATGTTAAAACAATGTCGTAAAGTCCGTTTCGTCAAAGTTAGAAATTTAATTTATAGAGACTGCAACTATCTGGACCTTAGGTTTAACAACGTTAGAAACTTATAGCAAGGGTCCCATGTTTAATGGTCCGTGGCATAGATTAATCTTGATTGAATAGTGCAAGTTTGGAATGAGAGCACAAAAATGTTGTTAGAAGTTTTAGTTTGAGACAATAGTAATATATCCTTAAATAATGATAACTCTGAGATTTTTCGACATAGATGTGTTGAAACAATGGATAAAATTTAATCTGATAAACTTAAATTCGGTCTAACATTGCATAAAATTTATAAAATGTGATATTTGCATGTCTTTATTTGCGAGTGCATATAAAATACCTGTAGGTCTTTTTAAAGGGAGCGATAATATAGGAAAATCTTATAAGGTTTTAAATCTTATAATTCAGTGGTGGCCTAGTGGTTAAGGGGCCCGCCTCTCGTTGCCAAGGGTGCGGGTTCAAACCTGGCAAGTACCAATGCTGATTTTTCGGAGTCATATGTACTTTTTGAGAGTATTTAGACATCATGAGATCTAAGATTTTCGCAAGTACACATTTAAATGAAACTAATATTTTCGGATTTTACTTCGCGTTTTATTTTTAGAAACTACATACTCCCGACGTTTCGGCTACTTTTCAGCAACCGTTATCACGGGCAGACGAGATGTGAGTGTCTGTCAGCTGGTCTGGTCATTTTATCTCCTACCGCCATCGATTTCTTAATTGTCTTGCGTACCGCTCTGGATGCCGGCAAAATGCGCTCACGGTGTCTCGAGGTCCTGCGGTGTGGTCACGGACATGGGATTTTATATTTTTAAGAAGAGGATCCCAGGTGTTTGATAGGTTCCAGCCATCTTCTCTATTGAAATTTGGGTGTTTTTTAATTTCAATAGCCTCGCGGATTAACCTTGGTATATATCTGTCTTCACGAGCGAGGATCTGTGGTTTATCAAATCTAATGTAATGGCCTGGTTTGTCCAATGCATGTTCGCACACTGCTGACTTCGACGCGCGCCTATTCCTGACGTCTGAAATGTGTTCCTTAACCCTTGTACCGATGCTTCTCTTTGTCTGTCCGATGTATGACAAGCCACAGTCACAATCAAGTTTATATACACCCGCTTGTTGTAAAGGAATGTTACTCTTGATTGGTCTCAAGAATTGGCTCACTTTCTTATGTGGTTTATAAATAGTCTTGATTGAAACCTTCTTCAAGATGTTGCCTATTCTGTCAGTAACTCCTTTTACATATGGTAGAATTGCAGGTTGTCGCTCAACTGTAGGTGGCTTCATCTGGTTCTTGCGATGCTGGCGAGGCACGGGCAGGCTGTTGATGGTCAGAGCACGTCTTACATGCTGCAGCTCGGCCTCTAGGTGGTCAGCATCACAAAGGTGTTGTGCTCTCTGTAACAAAGATTTACCAACGGTAGCTAACTGTACAGGGTGGTGGTGTGATTTACCATTGAGATACCTATCCGTATGTGTGGGTTTCCTATAAACAGTATGTCCCAAAGTATTGTCAGGATTCCTGATGACTAGTATATCAAGGAAAGCTAAAGAATTATTTGCCTCTAATTCTATAGTAAACTGGATCTTATTATTGATAGAATTAAGATGGTTCAAGAAAGCAGATGTTTTGTTTTTATTTAATATTGTGAAAGTGTCATCTACATAGCTTTTATAAATTAAGGGTCTTATTGTAGGAGAGCTAAGGGCTCGCACCTCGAAGTCTTCCATGAATATATCTGCGACAACGGGGGAAACCGGCGAACCCATTGCTACTCCATCTACTTGTATATAGAATTCATCCTTCCACATGAGATAGCCAGATGTTAGGCAGTGCTTTAACAATTCTGCATATTCAATAGGCATCTTATTATCCTTTAACTTACCTCTTACAATCTCAATGCAGTCAAGAACAGGTAGATTAGTGAATAATGACTGTACATCGAAACTGACCATAATGTCATTGTCTGTCAATTTTAGGTGTTTAATGTCATTGACAAACTGGTAGGAATCCTTAACAAATGACTTTGTGTGGCCCCGGAGTGGTGATAATATCTTTGAAAGGAATTTATTTTTTAGACATCACTGACATACGGTGAGGAAACCTGGACTTATAGTTTCACAATTATAAGTTTGAAATCACCAACCCGTCTTGAGCAAACGTGGTGATTAATGCTCAAACCTTCTCCATGTGAGAAAGAGGCCTTTACTCAGCAGTGGGCTTCTGATAGGCTGCTGACATGTCATGACATTATAAGGTTTCAATGAATATTCTTGACAGGTGCTGGTGTGGATTGAGCCGTACAGCTCATGGCGCCAACATCCCAGTGGCGCCACCTGGGGAGGCGTGGGTCCCACAACGTCATACTCAAGCTGGTCCCACTGATGCTTACGGGACTGTCGAATTCCAGGGAGGACCACATCCAACGAAAGCACAGGTAAGGCCTAATCACTGCACGTTATACAAGTTTTTATTGTACCCAAATATCGAAAAAATATTAATCTTTTTTATTCCATATTAATGCTATGCTAATATATTACTTTTGTCATAGTACGTGCGGCTCTCCCATGACACTCGACCAGACCTGATCGTCCAACTTCTTACCCGAGAATGGGCTCTAGAACGACCAAAACTTCTCATCACTATACAAGGAGGGAAGGCAAATTTTGACCTCCAGCCGAAACTTAAGAAGGTTTTGAGGAAAGGTCTTCTAAAAGCTGCGAAGACTACTGGAGCATGGATATTTACTGGAGGGACCAACACGGGTAAGATAAAGAAAAAACATTCTAATTAGGAAGAATATTACTATGTGTTAAAATGAAACAGCAGCCGAAACAATGGACCCTAACTATATCTGTTCTGATAATACCTTGTGATATTAAACTTAAACAAACCGGTGACCTAATTTGGCTGGCATACAGTCTTGGTGCCAAATGGAGTAACAAAATTTATGTCGGAACATAAAAACTCCAACTATCCACTCAGTATTCTCCATTGCTTACATTGCAACGCTTAATAATCATTTCAGTGCTTTTACAGCGTTCAATATCGTATTTTTATTTTTTTTCACTCTCTTGAGTCGCTGCAGAAAGCAAGAATAATAAATAACAAAGCGAAAACAAGTCCCGTAGGACCCAATTAAATCATGTTTCTAATACAATATGCAACTGTGAGGGTCTATTATTGCTTTGAGTTTGATACTGTTGTTTATTCACTGTATTAATACTTTAATCTGTGTTTTATTTCTGTAACTCACGACAAATATATAGGAATAGAATAATAATTTATATATACAAATATATTAGAACTACCTCGAAACTTACTTAACAGTAAAATCAAGTCTTTGATAATAAGTTAGTGATATAATCTTGTTATAAAAGAATTATTGCTAGTAGATATTTGGATTGGTAATAAGTTATTGCGAAAGGATTTTGTCATTATAAGAATTTAGTAAACATTTGTGTCGTATTATTTATTTTTTAAATCATTCTAGGACATGTTATTTCTTCTTAGCCTTGCTATAGTTCTAAGCAAGGAAAATTCAAATATCTGCTATTAATTTTCTACAGTAGTTTAGTTAACTCGTGAATTGAAATCAACAGCAGACTGTATGTCGACCTGCTTAAAGTTTCTAGTTTCGAGTTTTTCTAGTTTCTAGTGAAGTGAGGAAATTCGATTATGAAGTACATTTGAAAATGTTTTAACTCGATTCGTCTGAAAAAGGTACATACAGAGTTTTTGAAAGCATTTTTTTTAACGAAAAGCTAATGTATGTACGACGGAATTATTGCGCTGTTTATTTATGTAAATTTATTTCTCACTTTAAATTTCAGTATTTTAATTATGACATTTTTAAAGTAAAATAAGAGCCTAAATAATTCATACATGAATTAATTTGTTATACCTATATTTGAGAACTTTGTCCTACATTCTATCTTTTCCTAGAAATTATTCTAGAATCTAGATATATCTAGAATAAACTGCATTTTACCACAGTTGTTCAAGATGTCATAATATATATTTTTTTAGTTTTTAAGTCCATACCTTTTAACTTAACACCTTACAGTTTATAAATTATGAACATGTATCGTCAATAGTACCCAAAAGGAATGCAATCAATCCGATAACAAAATATGTATAAATATTATAATAAGCCTTAAACATATTTAATTTTATATATCAGCTTGTATAAATGCTTTTATTCTACTTATTCACAAGAGTGAGAAAGGGATAGAAAAGAGAGTACGAATGGTATATAAGAAAGAGATAGGTATAATTTAATACATATATATCTGCCTCTAAAAGTGTAGAACTTTTCACTACATACTAGTCCATATTTCCCAGGTGTAACTCGCCAGGTGGGGGATGCATTACAGCTGGAGAGATCCCAACGTGCTGGTCGAGTTGTCAGTATTGGAATAGCGCCCTGGGGTATAGTGGAGGGATCCAACGAGCTCATCGGCAGAGGAAGAGATGTTCCTTATCACGCTATAGCTTCACCGAGGTAAATTATTATTTATACATAGAAAAAAATTGTACGAATTTATTGAAATGAAATTAATACTTAAGAATTAAATTGAAACTATTTTATGCGGATTTCTACGTGTATTTTATTATTTTTCAAAACTACGTTCTTCCGACGTTTTGGTTACTTTGCAGTAAACGCGATCACAGGTACACCAGATATGAAATAAAAAAATACACGTAATACTCGCGAAAGTCTTAGATCACATTAAAATAAGGATTTTAAGGGTACTAAGTACTTAAGGAAGGAATATTTTTGACTATAATATTTAAACTAGCCTATTTAATTCATTATTAAAACTTTATTTTAACTTCGAAGCATTGATTTCTTCATTAGGTATATTGTATTATATAATTATCTTCACCTAACGCTATGTTTAAAATTGAATTTTGTGATCTTTACTTGAATGCTTTTTGTTGTTTTAAATAACAATATCCATTTATACGAGAAACACGATGTTTAAACAATAGACATATAATACTATGTAGTTTGAATGTAACAAACTCTGTAGTGAGAGTATTAGCGTTTAAAATATCTATAAGTCGTATTAAAAGTATCTATCGTTAGATTTTAATTTAATATATTACAAAATTTTATTATTTTATATATTGATTTTAGATAGGAGATGTATTTATTACCAAAACAAATGAATATGATTGTTGTTTCAATGAAAACTAATTTCGAATAACTGTTTTAAAACATACAAACATGAATGTCCTAGTATTTGGTTTAAAGATTACGAAAATAAACTTTATACAGTTGTATTTAACGGCTATCCACAACTGTGCAGTAAGTCACTGCGAATACAGATCCCAATTATAAAAAATAAAACATCCATTTTCATATTATTATAAAAAGTTTATTAAAACAAATTTCACTATATTAATGATTTTATTACTATCCAGTTTTCATATAAATGTAGATTATAATTAAATCACGAGTAATATAAAAAATTACTAAATATTTACTTATGAGTATAATTATTATTTCAATGGAATACACTACAATATATTTTCCACTACATTTTATCGTAAAAAAAGTGTAATGTAAATTCTTTTAGTCTTCTTAAGGATTTTTACAAATCAAACTCCTAAGCCATTCCGATCTTTTATTTCCGCTGACCGTACAAATTTCGATCATGCACTTCAATTTTTAACCTTTTGTTTAATTAAATCTATCATTTAATGTCTTGTTTGATCGGATCTGGCGTGTTTATGACTGTGGATGAACCAAGATTGTTCATCTGTGCCTGGTATAGTACATCGTTGATGAGCTTCTCAGCTAATATCCTCATGTTGGGAGGTAGACCACGTAATTTTGCAGCTACGTTTATACCTGAAAGAAATCGAAAGATAGAAGGGACTCGAAGTAGTAAAGCTGTGTTGAAATTCCAATTTACTAATGGGTCAAATTACGTAACAATTAAATTTAAAAAATATTATTTTTAAAATATTACTGTTATTTTACTGACTTAAGAAGCCATTTATGAGGATTTCCTTATCTTTATATATACATAAATGAAAGTCGTGTTAGTTACACTAATTATAACTCAAGGACGGCTGTACGGGTTTGGCTGGTAATTAGTGGAAAGTTAACTTAGAATATGAAAAGGTCGTGGAATTCTGTCATCTTATCTATTTTCTTTAAGGAGGAATAGAATTCCCCCGGTCAGCTATACAGTGCTAATTATGAAAGTAACGCAGACGAAATTGCGGGCAAAAACTAGTATATAATATTTATATATGTATGTACAAGTAACATTATAATTTCAACTAATCTGTTTTACATCATAGACATTATTTTTTATGCAAGAAAATTAAATAAAAACAAAATAATAGAGATATGTATATAAAGACCCAGCTTAAATTTATACATAATATACAAAGTACAAAATATGTATCTACAAATAAATCTATTTGCCAAAACAAAGAGAATTATTAAATTAGATATTTTCATTTCAGCTACAATATTGATTACAGATTTAATTGATGTCCTTAGACAATAAACATCAAATCAATTAGTATTTACGACTTGAAAATGAATCTCCAACAATATAATAGTTCGATGAGCAATATCATAACTGGTAATATTTGGGAGACGTTTAATTAAATCACGTCTTAAAATAAAATTTATTTATCAATAAGGTCCAAGGGGCTTCTGGACATTACAAAGGTCTTTAAGAATATTTATTGTTAGGAGATATTTATTGAAAATTCGAGAGCATACGGAATTTCTATTTTGAATGGATTTGTGAAATTCACATAAAGTATCTGTAATGGACCGGAATGCTTGGTCGAAGAATTTTGAAAGAAACTGGAGCTATGCAATTTTCACTTGTTGCCTCTAAATAAGAATATGTTGGATTTATTTTGATTCAATATATTTATAGTAAAGTTTTGTCTGACGTTTTTGTTAATTTCTATTATATGTACATATAAAACAAGCTATTATGTGAACTGTAATTTGTGTTTAAACTAAGCAAAAACGATTACGAAAATTTCAAGAAGATTTTAATATCATATAAATTATAAAGTCATTATCATCAGCCTATCAGAGCCCACTGCTGAGCAAACGCCTCTTCTCACATGGAAAAGGGTAGAGCATTAATTACCACGCTTGCTCATGGCGGATTGGTGATTTCAAACTTATAATTTGAACGAATTATGAGTCCAGGTATTCTCACAATATTTTCCTTCACAGTATATCAGTGGTGTCTAAATACTCTTAGAAAATACATATAACTAGGAAAAATCACACTAGTGCTTTCAGATTTTCAGATTTTACAGGCGGGCTTTTAACCTGTAGCCACCACGACTTTTTTTTAATATACAATAAAAATATAAGTAAATAGTAAAAGTAAAAAATACATATACATATAATATTATTTTAGTGCATTCACAAAACCTATTTTAATAATAAATAATAGTTTTAAATTATTAAATATATATGTGTAGTTTTTTTTCTTACCTATAGCGTCATATTCATCTTCAACTTCGGTACAATATCTTTTTGATTTCTCATCTTCGTAATCGTATTTCTGTATCAAGCTGTTTCCTTCCATCATATTGGTTGGTAAAGCATACTCCTGGTAGCCCACCTCGTCTTCTACATCGACATCTTCGTGTTTCTGATGCGGACTTTCATCTGCATCCTAGAACAGTTCATTAAAATCGTATGCTGTATGATTGAAGAAACTTATATGTATTTATCTAAAAGTACTTCGGATTATTTACATAACAAAATTAACAATACTATAACAAGATTTTTTGACTTAATTTTTATTAAACTTTATTTACGAATGCATTAAATAAACATGTTTGAATACAACTTTTTTTGCTTATAATGTATTTTTTAATATATCCACGTCGTATAGGTCTACGTCACGTTATAAGCACATCTGAAATGTATTTCTACTTAGAAAATAATGATAATTAAAAAAAAGTGAACTCAAAGAAATTACAGATATTATTAAATAATTATATTTATTTTATTACTTTTAAATACTTTATACAATAAGAATGATATTTTAATAACAATTTTTGGTATCTAATTTATTATGTTTGAAATAATGTTTTATAAAATTTTAATGTTTTATAAAATTTTATTTTAAACGGAATAATTAATAATGTTTTATTATTTATTTTGTTTAAAATAAAATAATCCTTATACCAAAACAGTTCCACGAACAACTTATAATACCATATGATCACTATATTCAATAATTTAGACTGTTTTTTAAAGTACTGCATTGAACAAAATATAAATTTTATATCTATTTAGTCAGTACTTTTGTTCAATGGTGAGATTATCGTGATGCGTTTTTTAAACAGGCGTTTTTGTTACGTTATATTAACGTCAGATTAATGTATACTAGATTATAATGGAATAATTTTACGTAAAATAAATTAAAACTTCAAAACTAAAATCCATTTATTCTTGGAACGTACTTCGAAGGCAGTACTAGTAGGTTCTTTTCAAATTTGGTTACATAGAGAGGAGCTTGAACGGTGGAGGTGAGCGTTTAACTCACGATAGATAGGGCCTTAAACCTACACCTGGGTCGCAAGTCCCAAGCACTGTTAAAGCTCCTCTCCCTGTAACAATGGACTTGGCACCCGCACGGTGGATGCATTGAATGCTTAACGGTTTCGTCTCTTATTTAAGTTATTGTTCTTTAGAATAGAAAAAAATTGTTTTGATATATTTGTATATATATTAATTTTGTTTCAGATCAAAGCTTGCCGTACTTAATAATCGTCACGCCTACTTTCTATTGGTAGACAACGGCTCCGTTGGTCGTTACGGTGCTGAGATCGTGTTGAGAAGAAAGCTTGAGAAATATATAGCAGCACAAAAGTTGCATCCTTGTGAGTACAGCCGGCTTATATTAATTACTCTATCGAAAGTAACTTAGTTATTTGTATACGTAAATTAGATTTCATTTATTATGTCTTGTTAACTTTATTCAGACTGAGAATTCATTCCATTTAAAATGTCTAGCAAGGTAATGGAATGCCTAACTTAATTATACGTCATTTATATATTATAATTGTATTAAAATAATTTTCTTTTACTATGTAGTAGTACATACAGCACTCAAATGTTCTAGCCTTATTACGTCTCATTCATAGAAACTTAATATCTTTATCCTTTTATCAAAATAATTGTAATCCAAAAAGTCTGTTTTGCCTTTAAAAAAGGAAATACATGACGTACTATTTCTTTATTTAAAATTACGTACAAAGTCTTCAAGAAGAATATACTTCAAGTGTATTGAAAAATTTTATCGCCGCCTGTAATCACGACTAAGTACTATTACTGTGTGACCAATTTAAATGAATTAAAACTCAATTAGTATTTAAATGTTATAGAATTTAAAATTCGTATTATTTTCCATATTAGATATAAGTCAACGGTCGTTAACTTAAATTAGTCTCAAACTCTCCAAGCGTAAACTAAACAAATGCTTCGTTCATTGGACTAACCGGTTCAGTCGAGTCCTTAATTTCGTCGCTATTTCCCTCCTCTCCCAAAACAAAGGACAACATGTTATAATACCACAAGTTCGGTGTGTATATTTCGTCTGGATTCGTAGCTTGGACACGGCTTTGCAATACACGCCTATGCGCCCTACGTACACACGCACGCATGCTTTCTATCTTTCTCAAAACATGCAACCTAGTCGCTGAACGATCATATTGTTGGACCAATTCAGTCAGTTTACCGATGGCGTCATGTCTTTTCTTTTTGTGTTTGTATGTAACACAACTCCTGTCCCACAAACACGGCAATTCTTTGTACATTTGTATGAATTTCTTTAATAGTTTGCGACCGAATATGACATTCCCGTCCGCCATCTTGCGAGCGGAGCGTCGCGCAGGTCACTGAACGTGCTCGGCGTCCCACCCTCCCCCCGGCCCGTCTCTCCCCCTCGCTCGCCCTACATACGTACCCGGCTCGATACGATGTTGGATAGCCCGGACTAACAAAACAGAATAATAGAGCAAATATCAACCATTAGCTATTAACCCATGCATAGTAATCTGAATTTAATAAGGGTTTATGCATTAAAATGTCATTACCAATAATCAATAATTTATTTATTTTTAAGTTGGGCGAATTTCAAAGCTGTGTGTATTAAAAGAAACTACAATATGTTTTTGTAGCGTCAAAAAGGAATGCCATTGGCCGAGTCATGAAAGTTATTCTGTTTATATTAAGTTTTTGTGCCTTCAACAATAAAGTACTTTTTCCAATATAATATATATAAATATAATTTTATGTAATTTTACGAGTTTAGAATAAAGACATAGTTTTAATGATAACCTGAAAAATACAGGTATTTTGGATACAATTTATGTTTCATTGAAAGCCATAAAGCAATTCATAGCCATATTTTATTGTTAAATAAAATACGTTAACAACTATTTGTGACCAAAAACGTCTTCATTGAAACATTAAACGCTCGTAAAAAAAATAACAGTAGCTATAAAAAAAGTCTATCAATATTGAGATATTATAACACCAAAAATAACTTTACCGTCACCAAGTGTACGAAGATTTCGGCCTACGTGACCCTCTTAAGGTCATAAAATATATACGATCCTCCTATTCGGGAATTTATAAAAGACTTATTAGATTACCCATTGTGTCTCCGATGGGTACAGAAGTCTATAGCTTGATTTATATTATACATATATATGCTATTACATTTACTTACGTTAATAGCCACTCTATTTTTGTAAAGCCGATGTTCAATGTTGAATTAAACTTAATTAATATCATATTACACTTTTTTTCTAAAAGCTAGTAGAACTGGCAGTTTTTTTTAATAGTAAGCTTGTTGTAGTAACAAAACTTCTTGATACAACTTTTACTTCGGCTAGTTATTTTTTGATTATTACGTGATATTTGGAAGTCAGTAAAGATAAAGTTAATAAAATTTTGTATTTACGGTTATCATAATATGTAGATATTGTAGAATTGTTTTTAATTCTGGTTTATGAATTAAATAAATAACTAACATAATATATTGTTAGTAAGGATTTCACGGTATAAAATTAGAGAAATAAAAAAAAGTAAGATTTTATTTTTTTTTCTCATTTCTTTCTTTAGCACACACGAAGACCTCAGAACATGTTGCCTAAATATTAAGTTCAACTCAAAGTATAATTTTAAATAATATTATTTAAAAAGTTATATGTAGCTATTTCTACAGAAAATATGTATATAGTTTTGAAGACCTTGCTCTTTTGAAACTTCATTAGTTAATTAAGATTTGAAATGTGTCCGTCGCAATAACAAAATAAAAAAACTCCTAAAGCCAAAAAATACAGACAACAAAAAACTTTTGGATTTTAAATCAGAAGTTTCTGTTTAATTCAGACATTCTAAACAAATAATAAATTGTTCAAGTGTGTTCAAGCTAATCTGGAATTACTATTTGTTATTCCCGCGAGGATTCTAATTAAAGGCTTTAAGAGGAAACGGCTTTCAAGAAGTTTTTATCCTTTAAACTTCTGTATTATGTTCTAGACTTAAAATACAATTTAATATCGTATATATCATGATTAAGAATAGATTTATTAATTAAAACCTCTATTAGTTTTACCAGCTAAAACTTATAACAAAATCCCAATATTTACGATTCGTAAAAACTAGATTATAGTAATAATTATTTGATAATAAATGATTTTTCATATAAATAAAAATGTTTAAACGATGTTTATACCAAGTGCTTTCATTTCAAATATCGTTGTCGTATATAAAAATAATTTAATGTTAAAATGTTCATAGTACTATCAATGGCAGACATGGGTTGGCATCAAAGAAAAAAGAGTAATGTTTTTAAATGACAGTAGTCATAACTGGAAGTGAAAATCAGTACTTTTTGTTATAAAAAATAATTAACTTGTGTAATATTTTTGTGACACTTCTTTTGAAATACTTTATTCTTTTTAGTCAATTTAATAAGAATACAAACGACTGTTTAAAATATATTGTCATAACAAAATAAGTAGCATGAAAGAAAATAACGACTATGAGAAATAACTTACCCTTCTTTCAAGAAAATATCTACAGTAAGTTTACTATATTTTCTGATTACTATCACTGAAATTTTAGTCATAGAAATATAAGTAATTTTTAAAGTGTACAGGAGTTGTTTATATTTAAATGAAACTTATACATATTTTTGGGATTATACTACGTGTGTTTCATTACTGTAAAAACTACATACTCGAAGTTTCGGTTACTTATCAGCAACCGTGATTACGGGCAGACGAGATATGACTGTTTATTATTTGTAATATTAATTGTAGTTATAATTTTTAAAATTTCCTTTCTCAGTGAACTTTGTTCTTTTTGGAAATAAACTTCTTTAAACCTATATGAATGTCTGTCAGTTGGTTTTGTACTTGTTGTTAATATATATCGTTTGTTACAGACACCCATTCATCAACACCAGTGGTATGTCTGGTGATCGAAGGTGGTACGAACACTGTTCGTGCTGTGTTGGAGTACGTCACTGATACACCACCAGTTCCCGTTGTTGTGTGTGATGGAAGCGGCAGAGCAGCAGACCTTATAGCTTTCGTCTATAAGTATGTAACAATATAAATGATTATAAAATAATGTCGTGTAGCAATGCTAAAGCCAAAAAAGGATTTTAAAAGGAGAAGGATTTGTTTCCTTCATACATTATAAACAAATAATAAATTATTCATCGGAATGTATAGTCGTATTTCAAATAGAACTGAGCATATGTACGAGTATGTATAGTGTGTTTTTGGACTTCAAACATTTTGACAAATAAAACAAGTTGTTTTTTTCTGTTAGTGACTGGCTTTAATCTTACAAATATTTTTAACTTTTATCCATCCAGAAATAATTAATAATAAAAGTTTTCACACTACGACAAAACAAGTAAAAAAAATACAAAAAAGTGATTGGTAGGATCGAAAGAGTTTATTTTGGATAAATATTGTATACCACACCCATTTCGATAACTTATACATCAAGTATAATATGATCATGTTGAGGTCCAGTTTTGGAGAATAATAATAATCCTTTATAAATATATTTATATACATTAAAATAAGCTTATTAATCTATATATACATATATAATAATACGTTAGTAAACTCTCTGTAACTTCAGTTTCTCACTCCTTACTTTGGCTCGCAACTTTTCAAACTTTAGTAACAGCTGTGGGTCTGAGTATGCGGGCAGTCTTTCGGAATTTTGTCGACTAATAATAGATTAGTTTGTAATCTTAGTTTCATCTCGAGTCACTTAAAGTTTGGGTTATTTTGGTACTTTCGTAACAAGATCTATGTTGTGCTACGTTGATGAGTAATAGAATCTGTTTTGCATTCAATTTTGTATCCACTGTACGTAATATACGGAATTTAAACTGAAACTTGCTGTATATAGAGTTTATTTTCGTTTGTATTTTTATTATTTTATAACGAACGTATTGCTTTATAAACATCTCCATGTGAGAAAAGGCCTATGCTCAGCAGTGGGCTCTGATAGACTGATGGTGATGATTATGATGTATTGCTGTATGATAAATAGGAACCAAAAAATTGAAATAATATTAAGAAATCGTTTGAAAGACGGAATGACGCTTTATATCGTTCTGATGCTGAATTTCTCCATTAAGGTACGCATCAGAGACAGGAGAGCAAACGATGTTAGAATCTATGAGAGACTTCCTCATTGACACGATTCAGAAGACCTTCGAAGTTGGACTTCAACAAGCCGAATGCCTCTACAGCGAACTGCTTCAATGCACCAAGAAGAAAAATTTGGTACGTATATAGAACATAATTTACACAGAAAATTACAAGACCAACTGATAGACATTCACATCTCGTTTATTAATCACGGTTACTGCAAATAACCGAAACGTCGGGAGTATACATATACTTAAAAATAATTATAAGCGCGTAATAATAATAATAGTTTCATTAAAATGAATACTCGTGAAAGTCTTACATCTCCTAACAGTTTATAGAGAAGTATTCTAGCAAAATATTTTGTATAGAACATACATTTCGTAAATAGTTCAAAGATCAATTTACACCGTTGCATGCCAATGTCGTTTAAAAGGAAATCATAAATTAGCTATAATGTTTCTTCTTCTTCTTCTTCTTCTTCTACCTGGCAATTTTCCCAGCTATAGCCAGGGTCTGCCTTTCATGTTGTTAATAGTTTTTGGCTATTTGTATTTACGACCGGCCGGCCGCCTGCCTGACATCAACCCTCTTTTGGGAATCAAAATTAATCAGTGATGTCTAAATACTCTTAGAAAATACATATGATTCGGAAAAATCACATTGGTACTTGCCCGGGCCAGGATCGAACCAGCTCTCTCGAGAGGAGGGCCCTTTAACCACTGAGCCACCACTGACTTAAATTAGCTATAATGTTTATTGAGCAATTATTAACTATTCATTAAACATTAGAATAATACAATGTAATATTTTAATAATCCGTTTGTATAAATAAAACCCGATTTTAAAAATGGATAATTTTATTAATTTCGTACCAATAATGATATAATATCGTATTGATTTTATAAATAAACCAATTTTATAAATTAAAATGTACGCCATTTATGAGAGATACATTTGAGAAGTACTTTCGACATATCAAATATATTGAAAAATATCAGATTTTGTGATTTCCTACTCGATAAAAACCGGCCGTTTTTTTATTGAAAAAATATTTTCATTTCAATAGAAACGTTATAAATTTAGCATGTAAATAGTTTTCGTTATAGTTTTTTAAATATATATTTAAACCATATTTATATATAACAATAAAAACTTTATAAATAAATAAAACGTTACTTTATTTACATTAAGCTAATTTACTTACCTTTCCTGAAGAGATTCCTCAAGTTTATATAATTGGGTAAACAAATATGAAGTGAACTTAATTAAAAGCCTCATCATTCCGGTTTCGTTATGGAATTAATATCAAAGAACCCAATTCACATCCATTCATAGCTAAATCGTGCAAATTGAGTAATTCAACGTCTTAGTAAATATTCAAATGAGGCACGGGCTTTCCAGATACGTGGGATTTTCCATGTGAATGATAAAATTGATTGTTTTCAAATGTTTACAGGCCAATGGAAAAATCCTTTTACATGTCTTACTATTATTTAGCGGTTATTATAGAATTGCATTATATATTATACTAGAAGACCCGGCGAACTTCGTTTCGCCCTATAATCAAGAAATATCTGTTACGTTTTTTTATTTATATTTTTGGAGTTTACCTATTAAAGCCATAAATCTCCGTGTTTTGAAGTGATTAGGAATGATTAATAGTTAATATGAGAGTTACACTGAGCTAGCAAAATAATAATTGTCAACGTTACTACTACACTTGATGCACAAACAATAACGATGGCCGACAACTGTGTAGGGAGTGAGAGAAGTCTAATTGTGTGAGAGAAACAGAAGACCGGCTTCGTTCTCATCCCTACTCCGTGCTGTTTACTGGGTCAGAAGTGACACCTGTAGATATCTGGCGGGGATAACTTATTAAATGACGATTGATCAGTTATCGACCGGAGATGAAAAATGATTAAATTACTAAAATAGCTATTAAAAAATAAGGGTTGATCGTAGAAGGGTGAAAATTTAGGATTGTATGTATTTTTGTACGTTGTATCATAAAAAAATAGTAATTAAAAATTTTGTCTAAAAAATAAAAATAAAAAATTTAGGGGTGGACTACCCCTAACATTTAGGGGGATGAAAAATAGATGTTGGCCGATTCTCATAGCTACCGAATAAGCACAAAAAATTTCATCAAAATCGGTCAGGTTGTTTCGGAGGAGTATGGGCACGAAAACTGTGACACGAGAATTTTATATATTAGATTATTACAAATATAATATACTTTTATAAACAAAAGGTGTTAAAAAAGACGAAAACAAAACAGCATCACATATTAACTTAACACTACTTCAACATTAATTAAATCCTATTGAACAAAATGATTACACAATTAAACTTAATTTTAAGGATTTATCAGAGCAAAGTTAAACTAGATATGCAAATGGGCAGAGCTTCTAGTAACTCTTTTTAGTAAAAAATGTGTCTCAAAATGATTGCGCCGCTGCTAAAGTAGGCGACGCTCTCCACCACTGCTCCTTATTTTTTTGTCTACGTTTAACAATACATTATTTATTAACAAACTAAATGGGATTAGGATTGAAGTCGTATTTGACCTGTAAATTTCGTTAGTGTAAGAAATTTCCTTTCCAATTGTAATTGTTGTAGAATCCTTAATGACAATATAATCCTAACGCCCATTTGGGATCGAGCAGACTAACGATTTATAAAATATTAACGAACAGCGCAAACTTTATACGTGCAGCGTGAAAACTTTATAACATTATTAAAACATCGCTTTGTATTTGACCTCACTGTTGAGAAATTTCGTTGAAGAAAAAGTTGGGCGTCTCGTCCAATTGAAGCTACTCACAAATATTCAGATTATTAATACTTATTATGAAAAACAGACGCTGGCTCATAAACTATGACACTTTTTTATCTCGCTTTTGTATTAATATGATTACTATAAAGTAAGATAATCTTTACCTTTGTATTATTAATATAAGTCTATATCAATATAAGTATTGAATAATTTAAGCACTTCATTTTGTTTTTGAAAAACATTATATCAAAAAATACATCAACACCACACTGTCCGCAAACGAGTAATTAGTTTGAAATAAATAGTAGCCACGGATTGTGAATACAGACATATTAAGCAATTGATTTATTATATACGATTTACCAGCAGTCGTTAAAACACTCTATTATTCAAATTGGATATATGAAAAGGTATATCATAATGAGATCTAAGATTTTCGCGAGTACTCATTTAAATGAATCTAATAATTTCGAATTTACTACGCGATTTTTATTTTTGACTTTAAACTACATACTCCCGAGTTTCGGTTATTTTACAGCAACCGTGATCACATCTCGTCTGCCTGTAAAAAAACGCGTAGTAAATTCGAAAATATTAGTTTCATTTAAGATATACATATTATGTGTGATAAATTTTATATAAGAAAGTAAGATATTAAGTTCAAATCTTTTATTAGATTCAACGTAATACAATGTCCAATATTATCAAATATTGATAGAAATATAATACTTAGTTATTGTTTTCACAGAATTCCCATACCAATAACTTAAACAGAAATGAATATGTCTCTAAGGGAGAAAACATTGATTTTCGTTTATGAAATTCTGAAATTGCATCGAAACGGCATGGGTTATCCGTAACTTTGTTTGACGTAGAGAATATAATGACTGCAAATACATACTACAAAACGAATTTGTTGCATCATTTAGCAGAAAATAGCTTCATTGAATCACAAAATGTACACATAAATTGACTATTAGGTCAGAGTGCAGTCATTAGTTTTGTCATGTAAAAAATACTTTAATTTAGTTATTTTCAAGAAGCAATATCTTAATATTTGGCTTAATAAAGCACCATTTTGTTCAAACCAGATCACGATCTTCCGGATTCAAGAACGCGCTGAAGGTGGGGAAGTACAGGAGTTGGATCAGGTGATTCTGACAGCACTATTCCGAGCCCAGCACCTGTCACCTAGCGAACAGCTGTCACTAGCTTTGACCTGGAACAGAGATGACATAGCCAGGTCTGAGATATTCGTTTACGGACAGGAGTGGCCTCCAGGTGAGTTAAATTTTTACGTCCCATAAATATATAGGGCCCACGGGTGCGTTTGATGAGGTATTCTTCATATATATTCTATACCCTCAACCTCATTTCGTAGAGAGCTTATAAATTATTCATATCAAACAACGCACGGGAAAACATCGTTACAATGAAATCAATTTCTATCACGTAATTGGTATTATTTTGAATCACTTTATCCTCATTATAAGTTAATATCTATTTAATCTCTGAATAATCAAAATAAATTATTTTTATTTTACATTTTATAAAAAGTTTTCCTATAAGAGCGGGTAGATTTTGGCGGCCCGCGGTGGCCAATTTAATTTGATGACATCTGTCAAATCTTTTGTTTATTGTTCAGTTGCTCTGTCAAATCATCATGGCAGGTGACATGATTGAACAGTGCGTGAAAATGATGAAACTTTATTATCAAAATGAGCGTTCGTTAGTGCTAACGTTGTGTGAATTGTGTCCTTTGTAAGGTAGGCATGGTAGATCTCACACATAGCTTGTTTAATTTAGTTCCAAAATCTATCCGTCCTTACCGAAAACCCTTTATTGAACAAAATTTATAAAATCCTTGCTTAAATGATCTTGTATCAGCAATTAAACTGAAAGCCAATTGTTTATGATCTGAAGTGGATGTTTTATTTGAAACGTAAACATTAATTTTATTACCACTTAATCAAATACTCTTAACTCTAGAAGATTGTGATGACATAAAACTTTTAACAGTTATTATACATACGTTTGAATGAACAATTCAATTCTAATCTGGCGATGGCTCTAGCGTTAAATCACTTTATGTTGATCGGAAGCATTTACTGATAGAACCAAATCAATATCATGTGTCCTAAACTTGATAAATAATATATATATGTACATATGTATTGCATACTATACTTGTAATTTGAAGTATTTTTACTATACTGACTTAAATATAAACAGGATAGCACAATTCTCGAACTAAAATCATTGATCTTTTACATATTTTCATCTTGCGTTATATACATATTTATTTTAATGGTAAATATTCGATGACTTTCTGCGAATATATTCCTTTAAATATTTTTCCTTCAACTGATATAATATATATGTTAAAATATTGTAATTGTAACATATACATATAACAGAATAATATGAAGATTCCGTTTCTCATCCATTTTATTTTTCACGATAGACAATTCAAATCATATTTTTTTAATATTCAATACCTTTTTCTTATATTATTGCTTCCTCAATAATATAATGATCATTTTATTTACAAAATACATGGCTGTTATATGAATTGGTAATATATATGTATGTTACCGATACAGATGTTAAAATAGCTCATACAATATTCAGTTACCAACTCCTTTAACCCATCGATCTTTGTTAAATATTAATGGAATATTCCTCTACAGGAATTTTGTTAACAAATATAGAATTATAGATGACTCGTTACATATCTGTTAATATGAGTTTAACAATTATTATAATGAAAACAACATAATTATTCCGTTTCTATTGAAATATTTCTCTACAGTCTACAGGAATTTTCGTTAATTTAACGATTATAGAATTAAAGATGACTCTAAATATATTTATGAATGTTTTTATACTGATTTTATACTTTAACGTTTTTTTACTGATTGTAATGTTTAAATTTTGTAGGTGCTCTAGATGAAGCGATGATGCAAGCTCTCGAACATGATAGAATTGATTTCGTGAAGCTACTACTTGAGAATGGTGTTTCTATGAGGAAATTTCTAACTATACCACGTCTTGAAGAACTGTATAACACTAAGAGTGGGCCGAGCAATACATTAAGATACATCCTGAGGGATGTAAGACCTCATCTACCAAGAGGTTACGTATACACGCTACATGATATAGGATTGGTTATAAATAAACTGATGGGAGGTGCCTATAGGTAAGATCCCTACTAATATTATAAATGCGAAAGTAACTCTGTCTGTTTGTCTGTCTGCTACGCTTTCACACTTAAACCACTGATTTGATATTTATGAAATTTGGTACAGAGACAGAGTTGACCTTGAGAAAGAACATAGTATAGTTTTTATCCCAGACTTTTGAAAGGTTCTCTTGGAAACGCGATATAACCGAACTCCACGCGGGCGAAGCTGCGGGCGGAAAGCTAGTAGTACATAATATATTATTATTTATTTATTTATTTATTTATTTGATACTTTTTTGCACACCACAGTCTCAACACAGACAATTACAAAAAAAAATAAAAAATACAAACTTAAAACTAACGGTATAACAAAAGGCGGCCTTATGGCTTATTAGCCATTTCTTCCAGGCAACCTGGGGTCAGAGGATTGTGTTTGGAGACAGTATAGGGTGGTACATTAGATATTCTTAAAATAAATATATAACCTAAACACATACAAAAATAAATAGCAGTAATAAATATTCAATAATATACATACGTACATATATCAATAAATACATACATACATACATACATACATACATACTTACATTCATACATACTTACATTCATACATACAAATACATATAAATACATACATACATACAAACATATAAATACATAATACATACATTTGTCATAATCATGTCGTCGTCATTACTCTGATAAGAGATATAGGTTCTTTAAGGATTTTTTAAAAGCATATAGGGTTTTAGACTGTCGAATGCTCAATGGTAGGTCATTCCAGAGAGTTATTGCCTGAACAGTGAACGACTTTCTGTAATATTTACTGTTGTGAGCAGGCATTTTCAGAATGAGCCTACGTGCTGGTCGCATTCTGGACTGATCTCCTACAAATTCGAACTTCTCCTTCAGATATTTATCATATATATATATATAAATTATGTAATGATTGTTTCATATAAAGGTACATGTTTGAATTTTTCTTCAGTATTAAACACGTTGGACTTAACGAAGATGACTTTTATATTGAAATCAATATTTCAAATCAATGTCTAAATATAATATACCACATATACATGACCTAATTACAACTGTTTAATTAATATTACCAATCCGACACTCAGAAATTAATATCTCAATACGTGTAGTTAATAAAAAATATTCATTTCAATGCGAATTAATTATTTTAAAATTAGAATTTTTATACCTTCAATACATCTATAAATCAAACGGCCGCGTGCTTCTGTGAGATAAGAGTTTATTTATTCTGTTGAAATCGCATTTTCATGAGGTGACTCGCTTTGTCAGTGATAGATAGGATTCCTTTGTCACAAAGGAATGAAACGCAAACGCAAAATATCATTCAATAAAAATTACAATCCCGCAATTTACGTGTCAAGGAGATAGACGTAAGAAGGCTGTTGTTTTATAAGATTAGTTTGTTAACTGTATTCGATATACTTTTTATTGAAGGCGTAAACCCATTTGCTTGATTGTTTAAAATAAAACTTTAAAATAAAAGGGTATTTCAGTTTTTAAAATCTTGTACGGTGAAAACTGGACAAATTAGTTAATATTACTTTTTATAAGCTTAAAGCGAGCTATGTATAGGGGTTTTTGGTGTGATGATGAGTTACTTCATATATTTATTGTAAAAATGTATTTTAAAAATTATGATGTAGCGTAAAACAATTTATTCTTTCTATATTTAGAAATTCTTTGTAAATATTTGTTATTAATTATCTAGTATATTAATGAAGCTCAATAAAAGATCTTACATAATGAATCGGCAAAGACATTTTTTAAAAACGATGTAAATCTTTAATATTATGTTAATTTTATCACATTTTTGTCTCCAAAAATTTTGATTTATTTAAATTCTATCCCCGAATTCAAAAGTAACATAAAGTTAGACTTAGTTCCGCTGAAAAATGTCTGTACCAAAAAATTTGTTAAAGAACATAGTCATATTGCTATCACAGATGCTACTACACTCGTCGCAAGTTCCGTCCGATTTACGCGAAGGTGATGAACAAAAGCGTGAATGTTCACCGAAACAGTGCCTCCTTCACCCGCCACAATGCTGGAGGGCTGTCTCTCATCACCGGCTTCATGCCTGTCACCACCGAAATGGCACTATTCGACTACCCATTCAATGAATTATTGGTGAGAAAATTATTTGATATAGCACTTACGTATAAGTTTTTAGAAATACATACATACTTATCATAATATATATGTAACTATATTATATTTATTTATTACACGACATATTTGATTTAGAAATTTTAATTTAAAATTTATTTACGTATATAACACACTATACATTCACACTACACAGTTATATATTCAATATATGTATAAATGTGTAGTGTGAATTGTGACACATATTGTAAAAATTAATCGCATTTTTGGTTTTGAATATAAGTAAAATAAAAAATATTGTTTATGTATTCATTGAGAAAGACCTAACAGTCTTAAAAATGTTTTAGATGTGGGCGGTGTTGACCAAACGTCATCAAATGGCATTGCTAATGTGGACTCATGGGGAAGAGGCTCTTGCTAAATCATTAGTGGCCTGTAAGCTATACAAAGCTATGGCTCATGAAGCAGCTGAAGATGATATGGAAACAGAAGTATATGAGGAGTTGAGGCATTATGGAAAAGAGTTTGAGACCAAAGGTAAAGACAATTAGAATTTTAACCATAAAAATATAAATTTCTGGTCCCAATACTAAGAAATCTGTTTGAATGTAAATAAATAATAAAATCGATGATATTTCAGCTCTCGAGTTGTTAGACTACTGTTATCGTCAAGACGATGATCAAGCACAGCAACTACTGACTTGCGAGCTTCAGAATTGGTCGGGACAGACTTGTTTGAGTCTCGCCGTCGCTGCAAATCATCGCGCGTTGTTAGCCCATCCCTGTTCACAAATCATTCTAGCGGACTTATGGATGGGTGGACTGAGAACGAGGAAAAACACCAACCTAAAGGTGAACAAAACATATGAAACGAACACACACTCACTTATCTTTCTTCCATCTTATTAACGCACAGACTTGTATTGGCACGTAGTAGTTATTAGAGAATAACAATATCGTAATAGACTTACGATATAGATGTCTGTGTGTCAATGAGTCGCTTGAAGAGCATGCAACTGGCGTCGATTATACCAAAAAAAAATATTACATCAAATATATAACTTTAATACATAAAACATATACGATAGTTATTAATTATCGCATAATCGCCGCCAATTCCTTAGTATTTGTTGCATGACGCTTAAGTCAAAGTGATAGTTAGCATAGCATTTCGTTTGCCACATCGGCTTTGTCGTGATGTCAAAGGTAATTCTGAGCCTGCTGTGTCCGCTGTACATTCTGCAACTGGAGTTCAAGTCCAAGGAGGAACTGCAGCTGATGCCGCAGACGGAGGAAGAGCATCTCGAGAACGAGAGCTTAGAAGACGATAGGAGCACCAGAGATCCTAATGATGCCGAGGTAATTTATTGTTTAGTTGCTTCCCATACGCTTCATATACATGACCATAGCTGGGCTTAGATCAATAACAGTCAAACGACCCACAGTCAAATCAAATAAATTCAATATTGAATACACTTTACTAACATTTGTACATCATTCGGTTTGAGCACCTAAATAATAAATATCTAGCAATACTGAAATTGTTTCTGAGCTGTTGTGTTATTCAGTGAATTGTTAGGTGAGTTCAGTTGTCCTGTAAATTGTATTATTCAGCAACAAACAAAGTAGGTCGAGGATGAAATATTCGCTTTGCGTTCGCACAAGCAAGCACCAACTGCTTTTTTTATTATTACTTTATAACGTTGCAACAGCGTCAGACATATGAAAATTAATGTCAGAAGTTAGTACTTACTTATTCTAGGTTAATTACGAATATTATTATTATTTACCAATTATAATGAAATAATTAAAGTTTGAGATTAAGACAGGAGATGTATAAAATATGTATACATGTGTCGACCTATGCTTAGGTGGGAGTGGTGAAACGTCGAACTCTTTCTATCAAGAAAATAGTACCACCAAACGAACCTACCACCAACATTACGCAGGTATAACATGAAAACCAAATTAAACCCTAAAGAGTAGACTATAAAAGTGTTTTTGTCAACTTTTCGAATATTAAATATCAATTAAACAATGATTCTAGTAACATAAATGGTTGGACGTACAGTTACCCCAAAATTATGAAAGAATTAATTCCTTAAATATAAATATGAAAAAATCAATTCATTAGAGATTCTTTTTCAAAAGAAATGTAAGGCATATTTAAATATAAAAATAAGGATATCTGTAGTAAAATGTTTCAAACGATAGGTCGGGGATTTGAAGCTGAAGGGAGCACTTTCTATAAAGAAGATAATTCCACCGGGACAGCATTGTAAGGCGAAGGTATAAAAAAGGCCCTCGCACACACAATGCAAAGCTTTTGAATGGATTATAAATTATATAAAGCTCACGTGAAGTTTTATGCACCCATAATTATTCATTAGCCTGAATTTGAAATAATGCACAAGAAAAAACAGTACATATTGCTCTTTGTCGTAGTTTTTAGGAAAGGCTTTATGTACGAAGTATCATCCTTGCCCGTTTATTTTGTTATATATTTTTGTTTTTATTATGCTACAAATATCAACCACGTTCTACTCAAAAATTATATCGTGCTTCACTACTCAATTCTTGATATAAATATTCATTACAACGTTTATTGGGAGTGCTGACAAAATGCTGAATTTTATGTTCATTCTAAAAAGCGATTACAATGAGAATTTCTAGTTAATTCTTCGACATTTGTACCACTTTTCAAGTGTTTCCATTCATCCATTATTTAAAAATATGAAACATTACATGCAAAATTATTAAAATCTATTTTTAAACATGATTTATTACGCCCTTAAACAGCAACTTATCAAATTGTTTAGTGTCATTGATTAATTATATCGAGGGAATTACTTTAAAGGCTTGAAATTTCTCGTGTGACCCTTAATATAAAGGAACTGAAACAATTATACCAAAACTTCCTATAAGAACACATCATCACTCATATACCTTAACTTATTTATTGTCCTTGCTTTCGCTTCTTTTGTCTTCTTATTTAGTCTTTTTCTTTATATGTATATGTAAGTAGAATTGCAACATAATTTATTGCAATAAACGCAATAGCTAATACAGAAAAAATGCTACAATCGATTAGAAACGGTAGTCATAAAACTTTAAACCAAAACTTTTTGGATATATTTCTATTCTATGTCTCATCTAATTTCTTCTTGAGAATCAAATCACCCTTTTTTACTATATATTTCACAAAGATTCTTCTCTTCTAGAGGACTATTGTTTCTAATTATGTAGAATCACTGCCTCGCTTATTGCGTGATGTCTATCTTATTTCGGATTCTTGGTAACCTCTATACGATTTTCTATACTCAAGCAGGCCTTGATTGGCTCAGGGGCCGAATGTGAAACTCGCGTTGATCAGAACGGGAAGGTCGGCAAAATTGGCTGGGACCCAACATATCGTGACCTGCCGGAGTATCACGTACCCGAAGACAAGAGGATGAGGCCGCTGAGATTGAGGAAGAAGATTTATGAGTTCTTTACTGCACCTATAACTAAGTTTTGGGCTGATTCGGTGAGTTATTTCAACTATAGTTCAATATACTTAGACTTTTTTAGGTTGAATGGAATAAAATGGACATCGGAGTTTGTGTACTTATGAATCTTAAGTAAAGAAGTATAAAATAGGAAGTGAGTTGTTATTTATGTTGCTCATAATTTTTAATATTCTCGAACTTTCTCGCTTCTCTTAAAAGTTGATCCAGTATCCGCGAGTACACTGAAACAGCATTAACAAAAGATATCAAACAAATACAACAGCTTCATAAAAATTTACATTCTGTTTAGGAACCAAAACATTTTTTAAATAAAAACAGTTTAGGTATGAAAATACAATCAAAGCGACTAAATTATTGTTAAAAAATGTAACAATAACAATTTTTTTTATGTAATTTGAACATGTAAGTTTTACTTGTGGAAACATTGAAAAAACAAGGTGTACGTTAAATTTTAATGAAAGGGAAAATTCACTGAAATTATAAAGGTTTTCACGTTAAACATGACAAAAAAAAATACGAACAAAATTCTCAAACATAAACTGTTTATAAGATAACATATTAAATTAAACATTTGCTCATTTTTGACCCAAAATTCATAAATATGGATGATAAATTATTTTATCCACCAAAAGATATTTTATGTCTTCCTACCTTAAAAGAAGGAAACTTAAAAGATAATCCTATTATGATATGTTTTTCTGATGGCACTTTGGTTGGGTTAATGTGCCCCAAAAACTCATTTATATAATCTCTGTTCATAAAGTATAACTACATATTATGTTTATATTTTATCGATACCTTATATGTTTAGCGAAAGCTTTTCAATATCCTTGTACTATTTCACATTTGGTATAAAAAAATTATCAGCTACTCCTCCGCAGTAACCTTAAATATTTTCTTTAGATTACCATAAATTACTCTTCCTTAAAATGAAAAAAACTATTTATTACATAATTTATATATGTGTAGTAGAAATCTGTCAATATTTCCATTTTTCTTTTATTGAATTCTGATTTTTATTACTAATACTCGTATTGACTAATTATAACGAAATTGTATCATTCAAATCTAGTAGACATAATTTTTATTTATTTTCATTGCATAAAAGTAACTTGATTTGTAATTCAGTGACCATTTTGTTCTCAGATCGCGTACATATTGTTCCTACTGATGTTCACCTACACTGTATTAGTGAAGATGGACCCCACGCCGTCTTCACCCGAAATATATTCAATATGTTACATACTTACATTTTTATGTGAAAAAATTAGAGAAATCATTACATCCGAACCCGTAGCTATAAGGTGAGTTAAATTTTATTTAGTTCGAAAATACTTCGAGCTTATAAAAAGGAATAAGTTAATGAGCTATTTCCGCAACTCTATTCTACAGAATATTTCATAATAAAATGAATTTTAAACACATACATACATACGTTGATATAAATTTAGTTTATTTCCTTACTATGGAAGAAATAATCTTAAGCTTAAACTTAACACCGACATTTTAATAAATATGTAGGGGTTTACTTAATTTTATCTCAAATCTTTTGTCCCTTTTCACGAAAATATCAATTTTTTTACTTAAATTGACCAGAAATTATTAGTGAATAAACGATGCGTCAATGTTTGCTATCGAACCATGCAAACATCCTGCAGGGAAACGCCGTGTGAACAAGGGATTACGCTTTGATAATTTAGTAGACTGAAAACGCTTGGTTGCAGGCATTTTAATTGGAAAATTTTCCTATGTGACCTTGTTAGATAAGGATAATAATAAGTATTAAATAGAATGAAATATTGGGGTTTTTTAAAGCAATAAACTCTATTATATTTTTTAAATATTTCCCTGGTTTTCTTGCTTCGGACATCAAACTTTAATGAAACTAATATATGTATTTGGATTATAAGGCGTATTTTATTATTTTTAAAATCTACATACTCCCGACGCTTCGATTACTTTGAAGCAACCGTGATTACAAGTTGCAAAGAAACCAAAACATCAGGAGTATATACAATAGTTTTTATATATTCGTTTCATTTAAATGAATTCTCGCAAAAATCTTGACCTCAAATTTGTTTTCCCAGGCATAAGTTCAGCGTGTGGGCCTGGAATATGTGGAATACTTACGATGCTGGCTTTATAATATTTTTCCTAGTCGGTCTCACCCTGCGCCTGCGGGCTGTATCTATGGATGTCGGTCGCGTTATATATTGTGTTGATATTATATATTGGTATTTAAGAATACTTAATATATTGGGCGTCAATAAGTATTTAGGTAACATATTCTATTTATTAATTTATACATATACACATGTGTGTGTGTGTGTGTGTGGTAAGCGTAAAGTTTTATAAGCAGAAAATATACCTTTATTGTTTTCCCTGCTGTAATCGTATCGACAAAATCTTCAAAGAACTTTAAAAAAAATATTAAAAAATATCTTTTACATCTTTAAATAATATTCATTTCAAAAACTTTCTTTAGAAAAGTATTCAGATAAAAGTATATATACTAATGTTTTATGCAGTTTACAGTAATAATATTAAAAATTTTAGGTCCTTTAGTCACAATGATGGGTAAAATGGTTAAGAACATGATATATTTCGTGGTTCTGTTACTTGTCGTGCTAATGTCCTTCGGAGTAGCGCGACAGGCCATCTTATACCCTGACAAAGAAGCCAGCTGGTATTTAATAAGAGAGGTAAGTTGAAACAATGTTCAGAAATATCGAAATAATAAAAGAGTTTTCGTCTCTGATATAAATAACTATTTTAGCAGTTGAAAGCAAAATGTTTTTCAAGACCGACAAAAACTAAACGAGATTTAGAATAATTTATTACACTTGCAGAATTCCGTTTTTTAATTGCATGAAAATTAATGTTGATGTTAATTTGATACTTTGCATTCTTGAATATTTTTAAAAGTGCAATGATAATTCGTGTTCATTTGCATAAAATTTAATGCATTTGCGTCACTACTGGGAATAAAGATGATAATTTTAAAATAAAAAGTATGTGCCTTAAACATTGCGTTGTTTTGGTGGATGAGCGGAGCACCCAGTAATACGAGTTTGCACCTAGTACAGGGGCCCTAGCAACTTGTTTGTAATATAATTCTTAAGTCAATGAAGTTTTTTTTTTAAACATGGTGACTACTACTCGCGAACCTTACAGGTATTCTTTCAACCGTATTTCATGCTATATGGAGAGGTATTCGCTGAACAGATGGCGCCACCTTGTGGTTTGCCAGGACTCGAAGAATGCAGGGTGGGACATTGGGTCCCGCCGGTGGTGATGAGCATTTACCTGCTCATAGCCAATATCCTTCTAGTCAATCTCCTTATAGCGGTCTTTAATAATATCTTCATTGAAGTCAACGGTGTATCGCATCAGGTTCCGAAAATTGACGTTGTCTTGTAGTCTTGGTTGCATTATTATTATTATTTTTGGTATTTGCTGGACATATCGTTGAGATTTAAGAAGATTAGAGAAGATATTGGACCAAATACTTTGAACGTCAAAACTGTTTAGAAGTCAAGGGAAATTCAAAGGACCGTCTTAATCCAAAGATCACGATATGACCCGCAGTGTAATATCCGTTGTAATTAGCTGCCTGTTGCGAGATTTGATTACGTTAGAGTGGGTTTAGGGTTATATTATTTTTTGCGTTGGTTGTTTATTTATTTTGTAGACCGCTAGTTTCCTATTTTATTTTATTAAGAAAACCATTTTTTTTTTATTTATCGCACCTTTTTTTGTTTGATTTTCTGTTGACCCTCCCAAATTGTTATAGATATTCTTCCAACCGTACTTCATGCTATACGGGGAAGTGTTTGCCCCGGACATTGACCCACCATGTGGTTTGGGGATCGGGGACAAAAAGTGTGTGACCGGGAGATGGATCACGCCCATAGCGATGACGGTGTACCTCCTCGTGGCCAATATACTCCTCATTAACCTCCTTATAGCTGTCTTTAATAATATATTTAATGAAGTCAATGAAGTCTCGCATCAGGTTCTTTCTTTTTGCTTTTTATGTTTTTATTTCTTTATTTTAGAATCTGCAATAACGACTCATTAGAAAATCTTCTTTATAGATTTACAAAAGATGATTTTATCCAATATAAATAAGACTTAAACTGCAAATCTAAATTTAAACCAGTGTCGTATGTGCCATTCCGTTGCAGATTCTAAAACGTGCATGAAACGATATATAATAGTATAAAATAATTCCAATTTAAATGCAAATTGTTATAAAGTTCGACAGAGTTATTATAACATATACCGTGAAACGTGACAATGGGAGCTGTTAAAACATTTCAAAACGATATCTTCTATTATTTCAACAATAAATTGTCATCACTTTGTGCTATAAATTGATGTTATATTCTTTGCAAGTTTATTGTTATTTTAGTTCCTATAGTTGTATTTTATTTCTGACTACACTCGATTCCGTTCAGTTTTATAATAAGAGAACAATCTGCAGGTTTGGATGTTCCAAAGATTCACTGTTGTGATGGAGTACGAACAGAAACCGGTTCTACCGCCTCCACTAATAATATTCTGTCACATTTACGCCACATGCAAATGGGTCACCAGAAACGTGTCCCATAAAAGATTTCAATATGATAATGGACTGAAACTTTTCTTAGAAAAGGAAGATATGGAAAGATTGTATGACTTTGAAGAGGAGTGTGTAGAAGGATATTTTAGGGAACAGGTATATTGGATAATATTCGATTAAACTTTGTAATTTCGCGTACAATGAAATTTCTATGTATTTTTTTTTTCCAGGAGGTAAAACTATCGAATTCTATCGAAGAAAGAGTGAGGAATACTACTGACAGAGTCGAAAATATAACAACGAAAATAGAGGACTTAAATCAAAAAGCAAATTGTCAAGTACAATCCGTGAAGGTAAATATCAAGTGACTAACAATATTGATTTTTTTTGTTCGAAAAACTGTAATAGTATAAGAACAAAATACATTCGGACGGTTAAATATTTTGTTAATCAAATAAGTAAAATTAAATATATATGTTATACATATGAATGGATAACATTTGGGTTTAAATCTAAGAAAACAGAAGGATGAAAAATATGAATATTACTATATTAAAGACTCAAAAAGCAATTATAATAAAATAATAAAGTATATAATATTAGAAAAAATATCCTTATATGTATATATATCCATTACATAAACATAATTAATTGAACGTTTAACTTAAATTTTGAAATCGTAAGTTTAGTGGCATCAAATCAGCCAGTAATGAATGACTCGATTAAATTTTGGTATATAGAAAGCTCGTTATAGGAAAATATTTTGATATTTATAGTCACTCAAGCTCGAGTGATTCAATCACGTAAAGCATGAAAAATAAGGACAGGAGTTTTAAAACTTTAAATTATTCTCAGACAAAATTATTTATACACTGGTTTTTCTGCATAGTAATGGTTTTCAAATTAATATAGTTTTTTGTACGCTTTTGTTTCCTATTATAAGGGTTGAGATACTTCAGAGAGTTCATCAAAAGTAACATTGTTAACTTTCCAGTATTTGATGTGAAATCTGAAAAGTTCTGAAAGCGAAACCAAGCATGCGATATGATCTAAGGGAAAGGAAGTCAATTATTATATGATTTTTGACATTAAATATAACAGTACTTTATTACGGCTTATATTTTTTTCATATTCGTATAAATAACATTGTAGTTTTAAATTTTAATGGCCTACAATATTTAAAATCATATTTATCTTCTTGAAATAACATTCAAAAGTATTTTCATACAGAAAAATTTTATAATGTTTCAATCTCCTATTATACCGACAGGAAACTATTACCGGCTAGAACGCAATTTGTTGAGCATCATCCAGAAACTCAACAATAGCAATGAAAATTTCACCTTATGAATAACAAGATACGAATTAAATCAGAATAAATAGGTTTATTGTATCATTCATTTCCTAAGAGATTAACTAATTTTTTGATTAGATCCTGTGACTAATTTTACACGTCTTATCGTATATTATCTTTACTTGTGTCAGATACAAATCTGTGTGTCAACCCTACTCTATTCCGGATCGTTACACATCCCTTTTGTTTTATTCATTATGACCTTTTTTCCGCCTACGGCAGCTAATTCGCCAAAATTTGTACACGACATATAAAATAAAGTCAGAAATTTATTTAGTAAAACATTTTGATGTCGTTTTTGTATAGTACCCTTGCTGGTCGTTTGAAACATTACAATCATCAACTCGAAAACAATAAATCGGTTATTGTAACAATATTTTTGATAGGAAATAAATGTGTTTCTTACTTGAATGTTTCTTGAAAAATAGTTGTATTTTTCTTTCCTAGTCATTCATATCTGCTGAAATCAATTAACAAAACTTGCAATTAAATACGTGAGATGCAAAACAATCTTTATTAGATTTTCATAGCCGCCCTATTTAAATTACATTTAATTTGTACAATATTTCTGCACAAATTGGTATATGGTGATAATTAAGACAATATACAATACAATCCACAGAGCGTAGAATTCAGGTTAAGGAAACTTGAAGATGTTGCTGAGCAGACTATGAATCATCTAGCTGTGATCCATCGGTTCATGGCCACTCATCCATCTCTCGTGAACCGAGGGTCCACTGACACGCTGGGACCTCCACCACCTACCTTCCAAACAGGTGGAGCTAGATTACGAACAGCCAGCGACAGATCCGAGGTACACATTATATTCACATCAAATATATGTTGCCCCTTACTCGTTTAGTTGATTATAAAGTACATTGCCCTATATTCTCCAATGTGGTATAATATCCTTTCATATTTACATTCATATGACGATAAGATCAAATTGATTTGTGCTTCTCAGCATGTTCATTACTAATATTGTCAATATGTTTCTTGCAAGTTCTTTATTTACCTCATTTCCGTATTGAACGCGTTTCCAGAACTTTGATTTACTTTGTTCTGGAACCGCGTTTACGCTTATTTGTATTTTGTGATCCGTTTTTTTGGAGATATACGAGTGTTTACAATGAGATTATCTCTAAAAATTATTGAGCTAACCCATGTCAATACCAATTCTGTTTGTGAACCTAAACATTTGCCACTACTAAAAACAAAGGTTTTATCTTAAAATGGTTGCCTTAAGCCGAAAGAAGGGCTGTTATCCTTGACATTAAATAAATGTTTGAAAAAGCCGAAATCTCAAACCTTTCTTGACGGTAAGAAAACTTAGGAAACATTTACATGGACTTCGAAAAATAAATTTTAACTTTGAAGTAACATGACCCAAGTTTTAAAATTGTAAGTGATAACAACTTCTTTAATATATAATCACTTTCTTTGAATATTCTTTGTCATTTCTCTATACTTTTTATCTTCATGCTATACTTTTAATGACCGTTTAAACGGACAACTTTTTAAAACTGTTAGTATTATTTTGTTTACTTAACATTGCTTAACTTATTAAGACTGAAATAAATAACAATCATATAACTTTTGGCATGCTTTATATAAACTCATTTTACGAAACTGACCCAAAATAAATTCATTTTTTTCTTTGCCAAAAATTATTGTCTTTATCTTCCTTACTTTCGAGTAAATTTTGAAAGACTTGGAAAAAAATCTTACTGTGAGGCTAGGGTAGAAGTGCTAGGCTGTATTAGGAATACAGCCTATCTGGAAAATTATAAGCTCTTAAACTCTCAAGTCCTAAATCTCCAAACGGATCGCAACCTATCCGTGCAGGTGCTGTCGGACAGTGACACCGCCGCTCGGTTCATCGTCCGGCCAGTGCAAGAGGAGGACGAGCTCGCCTCGCAACCCTCCGAAGTAAGAACACACGCGATTGACATTATATTGAAGCACCACAAACTATTTTACTGCCCAAACGCTAATTTTGACGTAAAAAAATCAACTTTATCTAAACTATAATTAATCTCGACAGACCGAGATCACACTGCAGGATTGGTGCGTTCATCGATTAGTTATTTAAATCCAAATTTTTATGTTTATTTATATGTACTTACGAGAACATATATTTACTAGGTTGTCTATCAAAATTTGGCCGCCATTATTTTTAATTTAATTAATTAACCGATGAACGCATCAATCCTGCAGTGGGATCTTAGACTACGAGTACATAACATAAAAAATGTAGTTACAATTGATATACTTATTTTGGAAAGGACTAAGTTTTAAATTAACTTTTAAAAGGCAATGATTTTTTGGATCTCTTAGTTGAGTACTGTCGTATTTAAAAGTAGCTTTTAGACATATGTATGTAAGTTTTGCAAAGTATTAAAAGCCAGTTGTATAAATGGGCAGTAAAATACAAAGTGAGATAATGCATCGAGTAGAATATAGAATACATAATACTGAATAAATACAAAGCGCCGTGTGTCGCGTGAGACGGTACCATTTTAAATTTATTTTGTTCATGATACACTCAAACATTGACACATTATTCCGCTACCCGTACTTCACTTTACCGCTTTACTTGTTTTTAAGTTTCGCACAAACATTTGTGAAGTGATTTCCATTTTAATGTTGTATGTACACGATTTATAATATGTTAATTGTGCTGTCATCAAAATCGACATTCTAGTATATTTTTTTTGTCACTGCTCAGTAATTTTTGCATAATTATCAGCTTATTTTGACCAAATAAAGTTATTTTGGTTTTCTTACCATTTACATAAAATTTTTAAACTAAATTTTTTCCAGAATATAAAGACAACCACTCATAATTATTTTTCTATACACTGTGTTTTGCTAATACTTTGAAATAAACAAAATAAGACATCCCAAGTCAATATGTACCTTTAGGAGGAGTTACCTCAATCAGGGCCAGAGGTTCCAGTTGAGAAGGAACCAGAAGCCGATTCAATTTCCACGTCATCAGGTGCCAGCGTTGCTGGTCCAGACGTGACAGTCATCAGACCAACTGCCCCAGCAACGCCAGCAAGACAAAGGTCATCCGACAGCAATAGAACCGAACCTAGTGATGAGAAGAAAGGTATTTAAGATACTTTTAAATTAGTTCGATATTAAAAAAATACTTAAAATAATCCATAACCTATTGATTTACTGCCTATAAATCGAAACAGTTTTCCTGATCAGCTATACGTTTCTATTACCAAACTAACATGAACAAAGTCGCGTGAAAATCTAGTAATTTATAAAGCTATTACTCTTTAACGTTGATGAGATGTCCATATAAATAATTAAAAACATGATTTCATTGCTTATAAATGAATCGTTTCAAGTAAGTCTCGCTTATATTATTCCATTATTCAAGAAGCTTGACACTTGTCCGTAGAAGCAAATTAGGGCAATGGCTTTATAAAGTGCCGTTAAGTCACATCTGGCGGGAACAAATATGTAGCAGGCTCCACTTAACGCTGACTATTTAAGGGCTGTGTAGTAAAAAGAATTGTATTGCTTTGAAAATAAGATTCAATATTGATATATAGTGTCATCGGCTGTTGACGACGCATTTTTACCGGAAGTTCGTGAAGTACCAACAGAATTGAGTAGTCTTCGTCCACGTACTACCTCTGCGGGTACGAGAAGAACTGCCAATACTAGACGGTAAGCATATCTTAAGTTTACTGATCGCTAAAGCCGCACAGCAAGAAAGACGAAATACGAATTACATTTACCATTTCCAAATAGCCAAAACTAATAATACACCGAATAGTGCCTCCAATAAGATTCAAATTCGTTTGCAGGTTCTTATTGTTCTTACAAAATGTAAATATTTGTGATCTTATAAAAGACGAAATTGCTTTATAGAATAGATCCATCCATGAGTTTTGTTTGGCATGTCCCACTTTAGTTTGATCATGTTTACTGTTCAATGATAGGTGGATTTATTTCCTATCACTCACACGATCGGTTATCACGTATTCGATACCAAAAAAATTTTCCATCGTCATGATTGTTTTAATTTTTATTTTTTTGTTACTTTCTTGCATCTGTTAGGAGACGGTTGTGGAAACAGTAAGTCGATTAGTCATTTGGCGAATGGCCTAGCTTATGAATAGAGATGTAGTTAGTTTTATCTATATATTTATCAGCTTTTATAACACGCTAATATGTTATAAATAATAATAAAAAATATCACATAACATGCACTCTGTCTACTGTCGACACATTTTATATTTTGTAAATTCTAGCAGCGATTTGAATCGCTTAAATCACATGTTAATTCTTTCTAATTTAACTTGTTGGTTTTAATATATAAATATATTCTATTCTCACTAATTTTAATCAAATAAACTTATAACTAAATATATGTATGCATTTAAATAAAATTTGTATAAGTAAACGCATTTTAATATATCTTAATTATTCTTCTTGATTGCATAAGTATTTATTAAATCTAAATAGTTCATACATTTACCATAAGGTAAGGTATTGTATGTATGTAAAGAGATTTATTCTTACACTTGATGCACAATTTACTTGGTACATTGCGTTAAATTCTCTGAGTTTAATATCACAACACATTTATTATTGGTCCAATACAAATTGATATTAATTTTCATCCAGGCGTTCCGAAGGGGGTAACGACTGTGGCATGGGCGGTCATTCAACTCAGCATCTAGCTCCAAGAAGACAACACAGTCAGACGCATTCAGAGCCAGATAACTCAGCCGTGGATGCTGGCTCCTTGCAAAATTCTGTTACAGGTTTTGCTTGATAAAAAAACAAACTTTATGATGAATTACATTCATTTTAGTATAACTCGAAATTACTTTTAAATTCATTTTACTTATCCTAGCCCTCAGAAAACATATAAATCCTAATCTATTCTTTGTTTCGGTAGCAATAAACTTCTAGTTATTTTGTTTGTCACAATGGTCTACTATGACATTTTTTCTTGGCATCACTGTTATCAGCCTTAAACTGCCGTTATCAAGGTTGGGAGGCAACTGGTGGAGCGGCTGGCATTCCATCAGGTCGCACTCGTGTGGGCGGAGCTCCTAGATCTCTGCTGCTAGCGATGCATGAATACACCAGCATAACGGACGAACTCGAAACAGCCTATGGATTATTCTCCCCTCCTCATACTCCTAGGTAAAAAGCATCTTTCGTCGTCATACTCTTAAGCAAATATAGTGTTAAGGTTAAAGAGGTCTGAGATTTTTGCGAGTGTTTATTTTAAAACTAATATTTTCGGATTGCTGAGCGTTATTTTATTATAGTAAAAACTATACACTCCCGACGTTTCGGTTACTTTGCAGCAACAGTAATCACAGGCATACGAGATGTGAATATCATGAATATTAAAGTTCATATAACTGGATGAATTGACTTAATTTTTAAATAGTTATAAAATTATTCATGCAGCCACAACTTTAGTGTTTACCTATTTTTAGTTAGCGTCACGAATTTATTAGATAATACTATCACTACATAATTCTATTGTTTCTTAGAACGCCTATAACAAACCGTCTGCTATCCCCTGGCCGAGCGTCACCAAGACGTCGTCACGCGAGTGAGATGTCGAACCCTGAGTTCGCTCTCTTCATGGAGAAGGAGCATCTGCGAGGGGCGGAGGAAGATGACTACATCATCATGGAGAACCTCATCCAAAGACGGTAAGTCCGTTAATTTATAAGTTCAATGACCTGTTAGCATTAACAGCTTAATTTATCGGTCATATAAAATACTTCGTGCCTCTTTGTATGGTTTTAACCAATAAAACAATTTTTATATTCCTCATGTTCGTATAACAATTCTATAGATAGTCATATGTTTTTTTATTTAATAAACCTTAATACGTATTTAGTTGCTAGTCCTGTTTTTGTTACCAGTACTGAATATGAAGATTTTGTTGTGTCATTTAAATATAAAAATACTTAACATTGCACCTACATCACTTAACACTCACAAATTCACTACAATTATTAATAATACATAATTATCATTTGTAAACTATATTAATTCACTACCTACCTAATACCTTTGCACATAGCTAGCATTATTAATTTTCCAAAGCTTACACTCTCATTTCAAACATTCTTTTAAAAATCTAAAACTTGTATAAAAAGATAGCTAATAACGTCAACATATCACTAACACTGAACATACATCACTATACATGGGAGAAATTAAACTGTAGCCTAGAAATGGAGTCTCTGCTGGGCAGATACGATGATGATGAGGGCGAGGGGGCCTCGGGGGGCTCCGGGGGCCCGGCTGTAGGGGGGCCTGACGTCGGGGTCAGTATTAGTGTGTGTGTGAACAGCGTCCCGGATCAAACATCGACTCTACTCACTGTCAGCGACCGACGATTGACTCATCAGAGGTATGTAGACCGATATTAAATCCCTACTAATAGTATAAATACGAAAGTGACTCTGTCTGTCTGTCTGTTACGCTTTCAAGCCTATAACACTGAAGTGATTTTAATGAAATTTGGTACAGAGATGGAGTTGACCTTGAGAAAGAACAAAGGATAGTTTTTATCCCAGACTTTTGAAAGGTTCTCTTGGAAACGCGATATAACCGAACTCCACGCGGGCGAACTTGCGGGCGGAAAGCTAGTGTCATATATAAATTTACGATTAAATAATTGCATATTTGAAACATTTGAATAGTATTTATTGTAGTACTTAACTAAAAAATATATATTAATTGATATTCAAATCCTCATCTTAATGTATCTCACTTCATTATTTGTCAGTGTATTTATTTTATCATCTTCATATTACATCAATACATAGCTCTTACTCGTATTTTCATCACGTCATTATTGTTATTAATTCATTATTATAAGTCGTGGTACATTTTTATAACAATGTTGAAGACACTCTCTGCGGAGATCTTCGGCCATCGACAGTCGTGAGCTGCCGTCTCCTCTGCAGCCTCTTCTGGGCGAGGATTGTGGGGAAGTGCTCCTGCCAGTACCAAGACAACCTTCAGGTAAGTACTCGATATACGGATTCTTTCTTCAAGTCAAAAACATGAGGTAGATATATTACTATGAACCAATCGGTTATGCTATATTTGAGAAAGGTGGAAAACGAGCAGGTATACTTGATGGGCAGTAGTGACCGTCACCCATAGACATATTTAATGTTGCATATGTGTTACCAACCTTGGTTGTTGAGAAAATGGGAGGGGTAGAAATAAGTAAAGGGTGCGATGAGGAAAGAGCAACCGTCTCTCTCATTCATCGGACGAAACGCAACCATTAAAGACTTCTTCAGGTCAATCTTTTGTGATTCGAAAGGTCGTATTCAATGTCGTAACTTTACTACAGTTAGGCTCTACCACCTTCATATTTTTAATAAACAATTCAATAGTAACAATAACTTGCTTTCATATGATATTTTCTCTTGAATTCATACTTTCTTGTTTTTTATTAAGAGATCCTTTAGTAGATTTACTAAAAGTTATTTTTATGAAAACATCCTGCTAGTAATAATAAAATCGTAACATAAAATATTATTCTTCTGATATAGACAGGCAAATTATCAAAAAAATAATCATAAATTTTAATTAAAAAAGACATTATTTTTCATGAAAGCTTAATTGTTTTTCCCAAAACTATTAATCTAAACAATAATAGTGTTCAATAAATTACATGTTACGAATTTAATAAACGTTTAAGGATAGTCAACAATATTTTTAATTACATTATAATAACACATTTAATTTTTAATTACATTTTATTCCTTCTATGAACTTTTGTAACTGTTTTACACATGTTCGTCCTGAAAAAACCTCTCTAACATTATATGGAGTCACTCTTTATATGATTTTTTATTTATACAACGATGTGGCCCGGATGTTCAATTATTTTTTTAATATGTTACGCGTACGTTACAAGTATCTTTTCGGCTTTAAAGAAACACATTTCTGACTAATTCTTTTTATTGAAAGTTTCGTGATTTCTTGCAAACGACGACTCATCAAACAGAATATTCAAAAAATATTTCGTATTAACAAGACTAATATTCGTATTAATGGACAATAGACATAATTATCTTAATATCCTATGATAAGAAGACGAATTCTTGTATTTGGCAATAATCTTTATATCCTTATATAGGTGATACGAACGCCTCCAGTGAGTTATCTCTGTCTCACATGGTGAGTGAGAGTCTTCCTCCGAGGCCGTCCATCGTGTTGGACTCCTCACAGCTTCCTCGTCAACGATCAGCGGAACAGCCCCAACCGCCACAACCCTCGAGGCCGGAGACCATGTGTTAGGTAAAAAACGTCATTACTGTTCAGTAGTAATAGATTCATAAGGTCAATGACCTTTAATACGTAGAAAGATCGATGTTTCATTATATCTGGGAATATGGTTTAGAATAAATCAATGACAAATTAATTTTGTTTTGCAATAATACATTTTGAGTTTATTTCATTTTAAACTTAACCTACGTTTTATAATTTGTTTTCATTGTACCTTTCAGATTTTATAGAGGATTACGAAGAACACAGCGAATATAGAAAACGACCAAAATTGTTTTGAAGCTTTTTTAATATGGCAACACCAAAAATACTTATAATAATAAGTAGCTAGTATTAACCGTATAAATGTTTTAGGTAAAGATTGTAAAAGGACGTAAAATAGTATTAAATGTGGTTGTTTATCGTGACCCAAGTCTAAAGATGAAAATAATAGGCCAATTTTAACCCCTACCTGACAAACACATATATACCTTGTTACTGTTATATACATACCCTTTTATATTAGTACCGTTTTTATTATTATTTATGGCAATAATAAAATTTATACAAATTTCATTAACAGATTATTAATTATTATACAGCCACGGGCAAAAGTATTATGCACCCTACAGTAAGACAAGTTTTAGGGTGTTTTAGCATAGCGAGTGTAAATAAAACTGCATTTATGATTACAATGGTTTATTTTAAGAAAATAATTAATATTTTTGTAGGTCCACCTTTTGACTTAATAACCCCAGCCACTCTTTTTGGCATTGACTCTACCAGCCTGAAACATTCTTCTCTTGATATATTTTTCCATTCCTGCTGTAACGCGGCCAATAGAGCTTGTTTATTGCTAATCGAGTGCCTGCGGATATTTTTCTTTAAAATGGACCAAATATCCTCAATCGGGTTGAGGTCTGGTGATTGTGGTGGCCAGTCCAAGAGATCAATATGATTTTCAGCAAACCACTTCATGGTATGCGCGGACTTGTGGCAAGTGGCGTTGTCTTGCTGAAATTTCAGGCCATCGGTGTTTGTATCACCGAAAATTTGCGTTATCGACGTTGCTAGTGCTGTTTCCAGAACTTCAGTGTATTTAACACTATTCATTCGTCCCTCACACAACACCATTTCGCCCACTCCGTCGGCAGCCATGCAGCCCCAGATCATTATTGAGCCTCCACCATGCTTAACAGTGGGAACCACACATTCTGGGTTGTATTCTTCGCCAACCCTTCGCCTAACATAAGTCACACCGGGTGTTCCAAACACCTATGCCAAACGAAAAAAACACATTTATTTTCAAAGTTATTATTTTTCTTGCAGTACGTTATTTTAAAAACATTTATGTGTTTTAATATTGTACATAAAATAAATAACAATACCTCAAAGTTAGATTCGTCTGACCACAGTATGTTGGACCAATCTTCCACTGACCAATCTCTATGTTTGAGTGCCCACTCCAACCGATTTTTCTTATTGTGTTCTGACAGCCACGGCTTCTTCCTTGCTTTACATCCTTTTAATCCAGCTTTAAGAAGTCTTCTTCTCACAGTATAAACACTCACTGAGCTGCCTTTTGCCTCAGATAATGCTGCAGCGAGCTCTAAAGCAGTTTTTTTTCCTGTTTTGTAGAGACTGTCTAATCAACAATCGATCTTCCCGTTCAGTAGTAACTTTTCTTCTGCCTGTTCTTGGTCTATTTTCATGGGTGCCAGTCTCTTTGAAGCGATTTATAGCATATTGAACTGCACATCGCGAGCACTTCACTTCTCGGGCTATTTTAACCTGAGACATGCCTTGTTCATGTAAAATCTTAATTCTTAGACGCTGTTCAGCACTAAGTTCAGATTTTTTCGGCATGATTAACACGTTAAATGTTAGTCTTTAGAATTGTGATAGGAATAGTTGCGTAGAAGACGTGTATGTTCACTGCAAGCACTGATAACACACTATAACCCGAAACGCAAAAAAAGCAAATTCGAAGAAACACCGCTTAGGAGCACACCTGGATGTCATAAATATTTTCTTTTATCTTAATTTGGTTAAAAATTGCCGCTAATACAATAGCTAAACCATAAAACACACATTTGACCGCAATATAATGAGATAGTGACTAACAATAGGGGTGCCTAATACTTTTGCACGCAGCTGTATTATAATATTTTATTTGTTTAATAAATATTTATATCAATTTTATTTATTTAAAATTTACAGTTTAACTGACACATTACACAATACCAATAAACATTTCCCTCTCAATAAACAAAAATACAAAGTCGCAAGACACGTAATGACTTATTTGTCACTTTGACAGCTGTCATTATTATCCAAAAGATGACATATGCCAATTTCTTACTGATATAGTCCAATAATTTAATAATTGACAGTCGAAAATAATTTCTTTTTAGCATCTCAAATAGTTCATTATGTTACTTATTTTAATAATTGATAAAAATACGACTTTTATTTCTGATTTTAAATGAGATTCATTGCTTGAACTTTTAAAAGCAAGGCATGCGTGACAGATACTTATACAAAATTATATATAAGAAAATTGTGGATAAAACGATAATAATACCTATAGATAAGAACATAATAATTTTATCTACAATTTTTTTATCCAATATTCCATATCAAACTATATCGCAGCCATATTTTAAATCATTCTCAATGTTTGCTTATTCAATTATACAATTGAATTGAAAAATATCAAATTTTATCATTCTACAAAAATTGTAATTCTGAATATCATATAAATCTCTTATAACGTACTTATTGTGAAATATTTGCCAATAAATAAAACATATCTTTTAGTTTAAAGGAAATTAAGTCGATCGACATACAAAAGATAAACTTTTGATCATAATTTTATATTTTTACACAAAAATTATGTACTGACTTGTGTTTCAGATATATTAAAAAATGACGCAGTCATAAAAAAATATCTTTTCATATCTGACATGTCTAAAATTAACGCTTTTACAAAATGGCGACGAAAAAAAAAATTGTTTATGTACAGAGTAGTCTATGTTAAGATTAGTCTATGGTCTAAACATTGACAATACGCGCACTAGAGCTCATGTAAGTATAAGTGTCGGATTCGACTACATAGAGTAGAAGTCATAAACACAAATAAATCGTCTGTTCGTTTGTACATAAGTTATAAGTAGAAAATATAATAATAATAACATTTTTGTCTATTCTAGCTTTCTTAATCTGCTTTTCTAATACTTTATATATCTAACCTAATATAAAATATGTTGTCTGTACTGACTTAATGTGAATTAAAAAGTTAGCCAAAACCAATTAATAATTACGTTCTTTAGCTTGCCTTAGTAAATGACAACTATGAGGGGGTACTACTACTACACTGCTACTGCTAGTGGTATAACTCATACTAAGTGCACAGAAACTGTAATTTCCTAGTCCATACATTTCACCGATACTACCCAATTATACAATATTGAATGAGACGAGAACTTTACAGTTTTGGTTAACTTTTTAACTCGTACTAAAATATCGATTAGTGCAATTCTTTTCATACATATTAATAGCTATAAGTAATACTAAGTCCTGAATAAAACGACTGGCATTATATTGCTGAGAATATATTTATATTTCAATATATATTCTACTTCTACTTTATATTACTTCTGTACATATCATAGATAATCTTTATATACATATATATGTTTACATAAATACGCATATATAAAGCCTTTATTTATTAGTAAATCTATAGTCATATGAACTTTTTTAATTATCTTTCACTTAATATGTTATTTCTTCGTATCAAACCACGTACATGAAGCATGTGTTCAGTTTTACCAAATATTTTACGATCCTTAATACAAAATCATAATGAAATTATATAAAGAATATTAGAAGGAAATCTTCTTCTACCTGGCAATTTCCCAGCCATAGCCAGGATCTGCCAAGGAAGGAAAAAATATGAATAAATCAAATTGTTTTTCAATATACGCAATAATATATAGTGGTAATGAGTTTAAGTATTATATAGATAAGTATATAATAAAATATATAATGTTCATGTAAATAACAGGTGAATTGTTTTGTACAAGTGGATGTAAGTTCAAATCATGTTTCATTCCAAATAACAGACACTAGAGAACCAGTACTTAAATTAAATTTTTCATATGTAATAAATTTTATTATTTTATTTTCTCTGTAAAGTTTATATCTACACTTCGTCGTTGTTTTGTCTCGACACTTCATTGAGCACAACTTACGCGATCTTTATTTGCTTTTAGGACTTTTTATGTATAAGATATATGAATTCTGTTCCTATTGGAATTTCCTTCAATATCAGTTTGTAAGAGTGACGGTAATTTGTCTGTACATTGATACAATAAATATATTTGTGATATAATTGTATATTATTTATGAACCCTTCCTTAATTATTAAAATTTTATTATATGAAAGATAATTATGATGTATTTATTCTAATAACCGTTTTCATAAATTTTCTCTTGCCATTATTTAAAATACTTCGTCAAATTTTTGTGTGATTAACGTTTTCGTTTTATTTAATTAATACAATTCTATAAACAGATAGTTGAAAATGAACAATTAATTTGTACAATGATATCATATCATGGCTCAAATTATAATAAATATTACAATAAGCACATATTGTAGTATTAGTTTTTAAATATAAATACAAATAAATTTTGAAATTATAACAGATAAGTTACAAAAAAATAGTTACAAGGTAATAATAGCAAACGATAGTGGATAGTCTAAATAAATATACATACTTAAAAATTGGGTAATAAATATTTTTGTTCACATATGTATGTTATGCATGGAAAAGTAATTTCACGTCAAAATTGGCTGCACTTCAAAAATATACAAATAGTGCTTAGTACAAGTGAGACTAAAGGGCCCGCCTCTCGTACCCGAGTGCGCGGGTTCGATCCTGGCAACTACCAATGTGATTTTTCCGAGTCCTATGTACTTTCTAAGAGTATCTAGACACCACCGACAGACGGTGAAGGAAAACATC